GCTTAAAGTTTTTTTAATATAGTAAATAATTATTATTTTAAAATAGTTCTAACTTTTGCAGGGTCTATTTTAATACTTTTTAATATAAGTATAAAACTTAAGTACTTAATTTTTTTAATAGCAAACTTGCTTTTATTAATATTAAAGTAAAAGCTTATTTTATTTAGCTGCTTAATAACGCTCTGCATATATTTTTTATATTATTTTAATATTTTATTATAAACTAGTATATTATTTAAATAAATAAAGCAAAAGTTATTAAAGTACTTGCGCAGGACTTTATTAATATAAGCTTAAAATATATTTAGTATATTGTATAAACTAAAAAGCATAATAATATACTTAAAAAACTTATATTTAATAAAAAAAGCTATTTTATATTTATTACTATTTTTAATGCAGATTTTATTAAATACTATAATAATATTAATAATAGTAAAATATTTTATTTTTGCAAGTTATGCTAGCGTTTTTTTAATTATTAGTAGTATATTACAGTTTTTAATAATTACTATATTAAATATTTTATAATTAATGCAAATATACAACTTATTACCTAGCTTTTTAATAATAAATACTAGTAAAATATAGTTAAAGTAACTTTTGCAGATTTTATTTTTTATATATATATTATTAATATAAGCTTTAACTGTAAAGCCTTTATTTTTGCTTATTTTATATATTTTTATACTAAAGTACTTTAAGCCTAGTATTAAATTAATAGTATAATTAACGCTTAATTACTATAGTAGCAAAGTTATATATGCTAAGTTAAAATTAAAGTAGTAAGTTATATTATAAAGCTAATTAGGCAGCTTTTTTAAAACTTTAGCGTAGCTTTTTGCAGGCGTATTTAGCTTATTATAAAATTTATTAATATTTTTTTATATTAAAATATTAAAGTTTATACTAAATATTAATGCAAATAGCTATTTTGCATTTTTTTATTTATTGCTATTAATAGTAGTAATACACTTAAAGTTTTGCAAATATATTTAAACTATATTATAATTTAAATAAAATGCTATTATTACTGCTATAGCGCTTAATATATAGTATACGTTAAGCAAAGCATACGCAAAATTTAGTTTAATAAATTTTTATTATTTTTTATAATATTTGCTGCTATAAACTAAAACTAGCTTGCCTTTTAGTAGGTAGTTAGTATAATAATACTTGCTATTAAAATGCATAGTTTTATTGCACTAATTAATATATAAATTATACTTTTTTAATTAAAGCATACTAAAAATAAAGTTATAGCCTATTATTTTAACTTAATAAAAAAGTTTTTTGCTTTAATAATTACTATATACAACTATTACTAATATTTTATAAATAATAGTTTATTTAATAATTTTATTGCTAAAGCGCAGCTTTAATAGCTGCTTTAAATAAAATATTTATAATTTATATTATTGCGTAAATAATTGTAATGCATAGTTACTAATTATTTTAAAATTTATTAAATTTTTTATATTAATAATAGTTTTAGAAAAAATAGTAATTTTATACTTAAATATAAATTATTATTTATAAACTAATTGCTTATTTTTAACTATTATATTTATACTTAATTTTACTGCTTTTTTATTATTATTTAGTTTTAAAGTTTATTCTTTTAAGTATTATAAGCAAATGTATAAAGTATTATTATATAAAATTACTTTAATAAGCAGGGTATTAAAAAACTGTAAATTATTAGTAGTATAAATATAAACTAGAAAAATAATTTTTAGTAAAAAAAAAAGCTTTAGTAGTACTATTATTATTAAATTTTTTTTAATACGTCCCTAGCGGTATTTTTTATTAAAAATTTTTAATTTTCTAAATAATTATTATTTTTAATTATTATAGCTGCACTAGTAATTATTGCTTGCAGTACTAAAACGCAAATAGCAGAAATAATTAATTTATTTTTATAAATTGCTAAAATATTATTATTTATTACGTAATATTTTTTACTATTTTTATTAGTAATATTATTATATTTAAAGTACTAGCCTTGCTTTGCAAAAGCTATTAACTATTATTTAATTTTACTATAATTAGTTTAAATAAAAGCAGTGCTACTACTACTAATACTGCTATTTTAACTGCCTTAAGCCCCTTAAAAGCTAAAAGTTAAATTTAAAAATATATTATTTTTACTAGTAAAATAATAAAATTGCTACTATACTTAGTAGTTTTAGCTAAAAGTTTTTTATATATTATTATAATAATACTAGCTACTAGTTTACTAGCTGTAGCATATAAAGCAAATAGCATACTAAATTATTTTACTATTTAGTATATTAATAGGCGCAATTATAAATATAAAGCAACTTACTTATATATTAAATAATTTTTATTTACCCTATATAAAATTGCTAAGTACTAATTTTTATAACTTTGCTATAGCTTTAGTAGTAAAGTTAGTAGTATTATAAATATAGTTTAAATTTTTAAAAATTTTATTAATTATAATATAAATATTACAAATTTTTAAATTTAAGTAATATTTTATACGCTAGCTAGCAAATTTGTAGAAGTAGTTAATAATATATTTAATTTAATTTTATATTAAAGTATAAATATTTATTTTAAATAAAAAGTTCCTAGTACTGCATTGCTAAAATTTATAATTTCTTTTATTTAATTTATTATTTTAAAAAATATTAATATTTTTTAATTTTTTGCTAGTAGCTATTAAATTGCTATTAACTAATAAAAGCAGTGCTAGTGCTACTATAAATTATTTTTATAAAAGTAGAATTTTTATAAAAGTATAAAAGTTTACTGTAACTAGTTATAGTAAAAATAGTAATAATAATAATTAAATTATTAGTAATAGCAGGTTATAAGCAAAGTTACTATAAGTATACTAATTATTATTTTAATTTTATAATATATTATTATTATTAAAAGGACCGCTTGCGTATTATTTTTAGTAATTTTTTTTATATTTAAATTTTTTAAAATAAATAGTAAATTAAATATTGTTTGCTTAAGAGCTGCTTAGTTTATTTTATAAAACTAAAATTTGCGCTATATAGCTATTTTTTATATTAATAAATTAGTTATTTTTCTATATTACCTGCGTAATCTATTTTATTATAAAAACTATAATTTATTATTTAATATATTCTTTAGCAGTTTAAATATATTTTTATATACTATTTTTTTTAACTTAAGCATTATTCTTTAAAAATGTAATCTAAAACTTAAAATTAGTAGTAAATGCTAAAAAATTTATAATATAAACAAATATATTATTACTATTGCTTTATATATAAGTTTAAAAGTCTGCAATTATTTATATATTAGTAGTAATTTTTATTTAATTATTAAGATAAAATTAGAACAAACGTAGTAATAGCTAGTTATTATTATTATTTTATTTTAAATAAAGTACTATATTTTTTTTTTAATTTATAATTTTTTTAAGCAATTTTTAGCGTAAGTAATAGCAGCATTTTTTAATATCTGCTTTATTATTATTTTTAAATATTTTAAATTAAACTTACTTTTTTTAAAAAATATTATACTGCACGCATAAGCCTTTTTTTTTAATTTTTATAAAATTATTATTTTATTTAAAGTTGCTTAAGTTATTATTAGGCTGCAATTTTACTAGTATTATACTTTAAGTTTTTTTTTAAATTTCTGCTTAATTTTTGCTTATACTAAAAAAGTTTAAAAGTATAATATAAAATTTAACTATTTTATTTTACTTAATTAAATAATTATATTAATTATAGCATGCTAAAGTTAGTAAAAATTTTTATTATTTATTAAGTTATAGTAATTAGTATTACGCGCGTTAATATTATACCTGCAATAATAATATAGTTTATATATAAATTTATTAAAGCTTACTTTAAAAAAAAGCTTAGTATAATATAAAAAATAAATTTAGTAAATTAAGTTAATTACTATATAATAAAATACTAAGCTACTAAATGCAAGATCCTAAGTTTAAATTAATATAGTTTAGTAAAGTAAGCGCTAAAAGCGCTAGCAAAAAGTTTAATTATATTAAGTTAGATATTATATAATTGTAGAGTAGTTATATAATAGAGGGGTAGAACCGTAATACTTTTATAGTAAAAAATAATTTTTAATTAATAATTTTAAAAAAGTTTAAAGCGTATAGTAATAAAAAAAAAATAAAAAAATAAATATATATTAAAGTAAGTAAGCTTTTTTAAAAGTGCTATAAATACTATAATAAAGCTAGGCATAATATATAAATATACAAGTAAAAAATAAAAGTAATTTTTAAATAAATTAGTTTATTATAATTTATTATTATAGTTTTTTATAGTACTGTACTATTATATATAGTACTAATTTTAGTAAAATTTTAGCAAAGTGCGTAGCTTGCCTAAGCGCGTAGCTCGCCTGTGTGATACGTTAGCTTAATTAGGGCATAGGCGCTTTGAAAATCCTCTTAAGCCTGCGACTGTCGTGTTGGTGATAATTCTAAAATGTTAAGGACGCGTTGTTTTGATCGGCTAATCTCCTGGCCGTTGCCCGCGCAGTCACGCTCCTGCCCCACCTACAAGTTCACAAGAACGAGTGCGATCGAGTCGCAAAGCCGGGAACGATGCTTACAGCGATGAATTCGATCGTCGTATTCTTCTGAAGTTGACAGACTAAACTAGAAACTGTTACCTCAGCTTCGTCCTGCAAGTCCCGTTCCCCAATTAGCGAAAAAGGCCGTATGTGCCGGAAATGTCCGCCGTTTTCTCTGGCACTTGACGCCTTTAGATATACTGGAATCCAACTATTGAGGTGACTGCTGGAAGGCAACGAGTTTACAAGTGCCACGCATCTACCATGCTTACTCATCAATTAGAAAGTTCCCTCGTTCGACTCTGAGAGTTGTTGGTCCCCATACAGATGTCCCACAAGATCTTGGACCCGCAAGTTATCGTCACGTTCTTGACATCCCCGGCCCTAATGGAGGAACCCATCCATCTGTAGTCAAGGGCGAGGCGCGCCAAATGTAGCCGCTGATGCCAGTCGATATCAACGAGAGACTCATCAATGATCGAGAGCCCAGTGACAATGTCAATACGCAGTACGAGGTGGGGGAGGTGGGAAAAGTAGAGAATTCCCCTGACTTTGTCACGAAGAGCCTTGATGTCGCTGTATTGCAGATACGGGACGTCGATGATAAACTCTTTCGCCTTGAACAAACGTCCAGGAAAGGCGATGATGTACTTCTTCTTGAAAAGCCAGCGCTTCTGGATTTCGTCATCGATCGTCTTGACCTCCTTTCGTATCTCGTGGTACACCTCTTCTTTGATCGTGCGACACGAAAGTACGAGTCCTTGGAGATCGCCGCATCGAATGTGGAGGGGCAAAAGGTATCTGTAGATCTCAAGGCGAACTTCGGCGGGGACGGTCAGTAGCCCGAGACGCTTCTTTTATAACCTCTTCTGCTCTTGAGCCATCTGACTTGGAATAGACGATGGGTATGTAGGGGTAGATAGACCATGTCGATGGTATTTTGATGCAACTACTTCTTCACCGTCTCCATCTTCGATTAATGTCTCAATAAGGAAGCCAGATGGTATGTTGACACAACGTCGATGCCAGGCAGATCTCCATGTATAGTGCATCAGCAGCGAGAGAGAACGGGAAGTGCTAACTTGTAGTTCCGAGAAAGTATTGTCATTATTTGAGTAAATGGGCACTGCAAATATTGACAGCTAACCGTGCTGGGGCGATTCTACTTACGCCTAGTCGTCCTAGTCGTGTGTTGTTGCCCCACCAACATCGGAACCGTTGCAACCCGAACGTAGCGCTGGCGATGTCGCAGTTACTGAGGATCGGTTGGTGAAGATGCGTGCTCGTCGCGGCCCACAGCTCGCTTGACGACCGTAGGAAGGTCGCTTGCGACTGGCGTTGTTTTTAATGAGGGATTAGGTGGAGTTGGCAGGGAAAGAGCGGGGCGTGCGGACTTGGTTTCATGTCTAACGCGGCAGGTGTTACTGGCTACAAACCACGACTTTTAATATGGATGCCATCATGCGCATCATCTGCCCGGCAGGCTGAGAATCGCATTCGAGATACCTCTCAACCCTTATCCTCTTCGTTCTCTACTTTCCCCCGGCGATTGGACTATGGCGAAGGCCGAAGGGGACTCCCTCGTCACGCTGCCGGCCGTTGCTGCCGCCATCTTGACCTACTGGATTGTCGCGACAGCCTACAACTTTCTCCGTGCTCCACAACCCCCAACAACGATACCATGGATGGGCTACGGCAAAGGCTGGCTCGCAGGTTTGCGCAACTACACTGCATTGAAAAAGAGCAAGGAATGGTTGCTTGCAGGCTATGACAAGTACAGCAGGAAGAACCAGATCTTCGTGCTACCTGCAACGCTTGGCATGCAGCCTGAGATTGTCATGCCTAGGACCCAGCTGAGTTGGATGTTTGACCAACCTGATCACATTCTCAGTACGAGCGAGGCACATTACGATTCTCTTCAGGGCGACTTTTCGTTTGTCAAGCCCATCATTTTGAAGGATCCGTATCATGAGCATGTGATTCACAAGAACCTGGTGCGCAATTTAAATGCGGTTCTTCCGAGTATGGAAGATGAGATACCACATGCCGTAGAAGCTGTATACGGCATGAATACGGAAGAGTTCATAAAGGTGGAAGCGCTGCAGTCCTTTATGAAGATGATTCCTGGGCTCACAAATCGCATGCTGGTCGGCAAATCGCTCTGTCGCGAGCAAAAGTTCTTGGACGCAGTACTAGCCTTTACGACAGACGTCATTCGAACGCAGGCGTTTATGTCCCTGCTTCCAAAGGCGCTGCATCCCATCCTCGGCAACTTGCTCAGCTTGCCCGTCAAGTACCACTACTGGCAATCTTCACAATGGACACTACCGCTGATCAAACGGCGCATTTCAGATATCACCAAGAAGGACGCTGGCGACCCTGATTATGATACTTGGAAGGAGCCGAGTGACTTTATTACTTGGAGCTATCGAACAGCTCAAGCCGAGGGACGTCGCGACGAGATGCAGCCTGACCGCATCGCTCAGCGCATCATGCCCATCAATTTTGCTAGCATCCATACCACATCTCTGACGGCCTACGAGACGTTGGGCAGCATTCTCTGGGCGGACGCAAGCGTCATCTCATCTCTACGTGAAGAGGCACACCGCATTTTCAAAGAGGAGGGAGGGTGGACCAAGCAGGGTCTCAGCCGAATGCACCGTATCGACTCTGCAATCCGAGAGTCTCAACGCGCCTCACCAATTGCGCTGACGTTCGTACATCGGAAGGTCGTCGCAAAAGAGGGTATTACTACTCCTGAAGGCATCCACCTTGCGCACGGGGTACTCCTCTCATGCCCATGGACGGCGCTAGCTGGCGATACCGATATCCACGAAAACTCGGAAGTCTTCGACGCCTTCCGATATTCACGCCCTAGGGAGGAGTTTGAGGCGATGAGTACAGAGGAAAAGGCAAATGTCAACGCATTGAAGTTGAAGCAGACAGGTCTCGTAACGACGGGCGTTCATCATCTACCGTTTGGTCATGGTAGGCACGCTTGGTAAGTTACCTGTGCTATCTGGTCTCCACGTGGCAGCGTCAATGCTAACTTCGTTAAGCCCAGGCCGCTTCTTCGTGTCGCATGAACTGAAGATGATTTTTGCACATCTGCTCCTCAACTACGACTTCAAGCCGCTCACTGAAAAGCCAAAGAAGATCTGGATGATAAGGTTCCAAATTCCGTTACCACTTCATGTCGAGGTCCGACGCCGGAAGAGCATATGGACGCCAGAAGATCGGACGTGAGGATCAGGTCACCCGCGCTGTGTTGTACTGTACATAGACCTAAACATGTGAGCTATAAAAATCAAAGACATGTGCTGCGTAATAGGGCGAAGAGTGTAGGATCTAATCTTGTTTCATATTGCTAACGGGAGATAAATCTAACAAAGTCTCACAGGAGACGAATGCACCCCGAAAGAGTCCTTTCTGTGCCCTTTTTCACCTCCCAACCGTGCTCAGCCATCTCCCAAGTTCAACTCCTAGTTGGGCTGGTTGGTCATACATGACAAGATGGCCCGCTTCCTCAATTGTGACAATTTCCTTCGCTTGCAGCGCTTTCCCAAGCCTCGCAGCGACCTCGACCGGTATCCAACTGTCCTGCGCACCCCAAATAATCTTGACAGGTATTTCCCGCCCAACCTCTGCATATCTTCCCTCGACTGCCTCAACGCTCCTTGAATTCGCCTGGCACAGTTGCCGAATGAAGCCCTTTTTCCCGCCATGCCTTAACCAAGGCGCTTTCAGCATCTGCATGATATCTTTTGGCAGCTCGGTGAAGGCCGCGTTGCGGATATATGCCTCTAGGATTCCCTCGAAGGACATATCGGGCAGCTGCTGAAAGTATTGGGGAAACTCCGCCACCGCCTCAAACAACGACTTCCCAAATGGTCCGAGAGCGACAACGTCAATAAGGCAGAGACTAGCGTATCGACAACCGTGTAGCAAATATGCGCGCAGACTCATTAGACCTGCATGATCATGCGCTACGACATGAGCTTTTTGGTCGCCCCACTTTCTTTCCCAGGACTTGAACAAGGCGGCGAAGACTTCGGATTGTCGTGCTAGATCGGCATCAAGCTCCGTGACGGTATCGGCCGGTTTGAAGCCTTTTTCTGATATTTCGCGCTCGAGTGGTGAGTCTCCAAAGCCGGGGTTGTCGAATAGGTACACGTGGAATTGTCGAGACAAGGCTAGGGCGAATGGCGTCCAGACGCGAGAAGACCAGGGCGTTCCGTGGATGAAGATAAGAGGTGGGGATTGCGCATCGCCTAGGGAGCGCCATTTGATATCGTAGCTGTGGGTTGAGTTCTCGTAGTGGAAGCTCTGGGTCAGAATGGTGGGATCGTTGGGGGTGCTTGAAGTCATTCTCAGGGAACTGCGCATTGCGTAGACTGGAGTAAGTGAAGGGTACGCCTGTTGGATTCAGGAAGAGGGAATATATATATACTGTTCCCTCGTCTGGCGTGTAGGACGGATTACCAATTGTTCGGGTTGGCTAGGGCGACCCGCATTCGTGCTTCAGAACACACGAATTAGATACTGAGCCCTTCAATTGAAACCATGTTATTCGTCGCTTCCAGAGCTAGGAGGCAACTCAACGTCATACTATTGTAGTTGACCTCGCCATGGGACTGAGGCAGCCGTGATGTCACGGCTGCTTTCAAATTAGCCAATGGGAGCGCTCGAGCGGAATCAGCAACCTCAACGCTTCGACCGAAGCAAACTGCAGCCACAAGAGGATTTCCAAAGTGCCTACGCCCTAGTTGCTTTATCGCTGGTTCCGTAAAAGTAATGTGAGTGCGGAGATGATTGTGATCACATTGATTCTTCCAGGATAGGTCGAGACAGCCGCCAACCATGGTTCCAAACCCAGACTGTAGCCAAAATGTCCTACCCGGCAGAAGCCAAACGGAGAACTACAAGAATAAATCCCGTTATATCGAACAGGTTGTTAGTATGCTGTTGAGTGTGCTGGCTATGACAAGGTGTCAGTTGATAGGGGGCCTTGGTGTAAAGACAAACACTGGCAATTCATCTCAACGCCCAGTAGTGCTTTTTCCTTTGAAAAACTACGGCTTAATGAGACAAGACGTGAGGTAAAAGATCGTGACTTGCACGCTTCACCATGCTCGACGACACTTTCGCGTACGTCTTCCAGTCTTTAATAACAAATATGCGCGCTCTTGCGACAGCATCATCGAGTTGTATTGTACTGTGACGAGATATGTATCAGGTATCTCCTCCAACCGCTTCTCTTTGTGCTTTCCGAACGTGTGTCGATATTCAGAGATCATGGGCGAGCCAGCTGTCATCCAGGCCTCCAATAAAGCTGTCTTTCTCCAGTCATGACAACCTCTCAATGATTCGAGTTCGGCGGCAGTTATTTCCTGTATCCTTCCAGGTACTTCTCCTTAGCTGGAATGCGTAATGACATCTACCGCTGGGCCTTGGGTGGGGACTTTAGAAGTGGGTTGTGGCCGGCCATCGTGTGAAATGCATCTCGAGACGAGTCCGCTCTTCGGCCGTGTTTGTTGAGACCCACGTATGTTATGGGGTGTAACAGCCGCAACGCCTGTGACGGAACGCGATGCGCACGCCTAAAAAAGTGTGTTGAAAGTAGCAGGGCATATCGCCCTCGAACAAGAGACAGTTAGCTACGATACATAACTTTAGCACTAACGGGACTGGATAATCAAGTTGATAGTGTAGAGTTAGAGTGCTATCAATCATCTGTTGCGTGCTCAGTCTGCTAGCTGACTAACATGTACATTAAGTAATGCCTCATTTGGGCTTTCTTAATCCAACTTTTGTTCGCTCCCCCGCCGTGCCGGGTGGCCTGTTTGATTCGAGGATACAATTTCTCCTATCTTTTGTTATTGCTACCCCGTACGAGTTTACATGGTACAATGCTGTGTTTAATTTGGGTGGCGCGTTATATATTGAGCAACGCTGGATGCACGCTCTTATTTTACCTCTCCTCGCCGTAAGGCCTTAAAACACCTAAGTTACATGTTAACGACGGCGCGGACCCTGACTGACTGAAAATGCACAACAGTAAGATTGGAGTCTCGGACATGAGAGGACTGATAGGTTCACATAGTACTTGCAATCTATTTTTGAGGCCTAACTGCCTGTCTATTTCGTAGTCTCAGCAACACTGGGGTAGCCCTGGACAAACATCCCTGCACCCCTACAAGGCGAAACGGAAGTCTGGATGCTCGTCACCCAATTCCTTCATGCTCTCGTCAAGCTCGACTGGCAACTCCGCCCTCCTGTGGTCTCGCTGCTTGTTCTCATGCTTGCATCCAAACCAAATCAAGGTAGCGGCAAAAGCTCCCATGCACGACAAACCGAGACCAGTGCTGAACCCGGTATGGAACTTCGGCGCTTCCTTGAACAAGAAGACATTGGAGCTAACGAATGCACCTGCTGTTCCAAAGTTGATGATGGCTGCAATAGCCACTGCCCGCTTGTACCCACTCGCGCAGTTGATGGATACCCAAATAATGGATATCGGCATTGCGAGGTAGCAGCCACATGCGATGAAAAACATGCCCATGTATCGTACCTTCGGGTTGGTAGGATATACGACTTCAACAATAAGACCTGAGGCAAGGACAGCCCAGCCCAACATGTAGAAGTAATAGCGACGCTGTAGATACTCGCTTGTGTAGGCGAAGACAACGGAGAAGACTGCGCCGACGAGATATACAGGGATGGTGTGGACTTGGGCTTGCGTCGCGGTATATCCGAGGCCTTTGAGAATGGTCGGCTGGAAATTCGCGAGGGAGTTTGCGTTCTCGGTGACACCAAGATTCATGGCAACGCTGAAGGCGATGTTAGTATCAGATCAGACGATGGGGGGCTGAAGGTATGTCTTACCCTGCCCAGATCTTCCAATCCTTGAGATAGTATAGAGCCTTCTTAAAGGTAATCTCGTCGTTCTCCACATGTCCTCCATCAGCCCTAACACGCGCAAGCATAAGCGATTTCTCTTCAGGCGACAGAAATTTGCAGTCTTCCGGAAATGGTGGAACAGCCGGAAAGCAAGCGATGCTAACGAAAATGGTGATGCAACCCTCGATGATAAAGATCCTATCGATCCAGTCAGTTAACTACCGCTTTGTATTTCCAGGAAAGCAAGACTCACCATCTCCAGGCACTGTAACCAGCAGTACCGTTCATCCTCGCGATCAGCGACGAGACGAATCCGTTGATGGCGCCGGCAATGATACCTGCGGTACAAAATAGGACGAAGCGGGTCAAATACTCCTTCTTAGTGTAGTACGCTCCAATCAAGTATGCGGCTCCAGAAATGTACGCAGCTTCAGCCATGCCTTCTAGCAAACGGCAGATGACAAGCTGCTCCCAGCGCTTCACGAGGCCGCAGCCGATGACGGTGATGCCCCAGCAGAACATCATATAACAGAGAGTCTTTGGTCCATACTTCTTGAACACGATCTGCAATGGAATACCAGCGACAAGGTATCCAAGGTTGAAAACCCAGACACAGATGTTGAACCGTTGGCCGACGAGATGCAGCTCCTTCTCCATGCCTTGGATCTTCGCATTTCCAATGTTGGCACTTGAGACGCACGTCAGCATGCAAGACATACAACGGGGATGGCTAGATCGTACCGATCGATGAAGTTCACGAGATACAGGATCCATAGTACCGGTAAGACCCGGAGATCGATCTTGCGCAATAACCGTTTCTCGGCAGCGTGGTCGAAGGGAGGCTCGAGGGTCGACGATGTAGAGGACACGGGAGCGTCATGGGCAAGAACGCCCTTCTCCATACGGTCTGAGTTGGCCATTGTGAGAGTGTGGGGAGCCAGGAGAGATGAGGATCGGCGGAGAGTCGGGTCTTCTAGCTGCACAGCAACACGGCGACACGATGTTGATCCTACAGCGAGTATTGCTCTAAAAAGCAACAAACGACAGCTGCAAAAGCAAAGAACACGAGGGATCACAAGTAGTAGTCGTTCAACGAGCAATATACTTTGCAGCGGAACACCGTAACCGACCGAGAGGCGTCTGGAACTTCAGAGATTAACTGCCGCAATCAAATCCCAATGGGCCCAAGGGATTCCACATGACTAGCCGCGGTGGTTCTTACGGGCGCCCCGCAGGAGAGCCTGCGGGCTGACGAGCTGCTGTCGTGTTCTCACGTCGACGGGTCGGCAAGCGTCCTCATTCAGCGCTAGTCTCCCGGTGGACCCTGGTGCGACCCAGATCTACGGGCCCGTTTGAAAGTTACGATCCTTCGGCAACGGCAGAACCTTCCGCGTGCGCCACGGCCCGTAAGATGAGAGGTTGGCCGCTGAGCGGTGTAGTTTATCTAAGCTTCTTTTTGTGGTTCGGCTCTTATTTGTCCGAAACAATTTCAAACCCACCTGGGCTTGTGGGGCGACAAGATCCGAGAGAGACGCAGACACAGACGCAGACGCGCGAGCAAATCGTGGCAAGCTGCCGCGTGCATAGCAAGCGAGGGTACCCAAGATCGAGATGCAATATAAGAGACGATTGGATAAGCAGGGAACGAGGTTGCAATTATAAATGACTCCATGTGGGATCTCGCACCGTCAGGTCTTTCTCGCACAGGTTCCCACATGTAGCTTATGGATCAGACCACTCACCCCCACTGAGACGATACACGCTTTGATCCTAAGGACCGAAAAACAAATCCGTCTCCCAGTTTTCGCTAGTCTCATTCGCCTTTTCTGCCACGCTAGGGGAAGCATCCCGTCTTTGAATACGGGGTCGCACCGCGGTGGCGCACAACCCTGTCAATTTTAACGTCCTGATTTGTGCTTTATATATATGGGCCGTGTATGCATGTATGCGGCACAGCTGAGACCAAACAGTCATCTCGCTCCATCAGCGTTCTGGTTGCTCTAAGCGACATTCTGGGTCCCCCTGATACGTTACCAGCTGGAAAAAACTTGATTGAAGTACCGGATTGGACCCGAAGAAATCTCCCAACAATCCTTACGATGGGCCCACGGAGACGGCAGAGGCTGGGCACATGTAAATGCCCGGATAGCTACCGAGCGACGCAGGTTCGAGGCGTGAAAAGAAAACTTCCTGTCCAACCGAGCCCGTGCCGTGGTGCCGTCGTAGTAGGATCATTAAACTTCGGGAGAAATCATGCTACGGTTCGTGTTATCGAATGAGCCCGTACTCGGTTTGATGTATAGCAAACGCTGGTTTGGTACATGGTACACTGAAAATGACTCTCCGTCAAAACACAGCGATCTCCCATCAGTTCACCTTCTAGCGTTAGATTCACGGCTTCTTCAGGGCCCCCGTTCAATCCACCGTTGTAACGCTCCGTTTTTTCAGTCAAGATTCACAGAGTGAACCTACGGGCAGCTTGGATCGTCGACACACTATGATCTTCGAGGCGTATCCTGAGGAGCAAAGGGATCTACGATGGGTCACTATCTCACTCGCCACGCTCTCGTCCCTTCTGTTACTGTTCAGAATTGTAACCACAATCAGAAATAGGGGATGGCTGGGTTTGGAAGATGTCTTTGTTATAGCGTCCAATGTAAGATTCAGACACACATCGCTGAGCCTCGCTGACGAAGAATAGCTTTTCCTCATATTGTTCGCGGCCTTTGTCTTCAAAGCAACGACTTATGGATTTGGAATGCGAGTGGTTGACATTAAAAGGACAGGAGGCAATGTCACAACAGCGATGAAGGTTAGTTCAACACCAAAGTCCTTATTTTCCGCACTTTATCACAGTCATTGGACCCTTGAATTGGAATCTCGCGATGGAAATCATCCTTACACCCCCCAAAAGCACTTTGAATGCTCTTATCGTCATCTTTCGAAACCCCTTCACCGTTGAACTTCTCTATGCAGTATCTGAATCACATACTGACAACATAAACACAGTTCTTCTGGTTGACTCAGTCCTTTTACACGCTCACCAACGGTCTAAACAAGATGGCTTTCCTAGCCTTGTATTACCGCATCTTCCCCATGAAGCGCTTTCGTCAAGCGTGCATCTTCTTGATGGCGGTATCCATTGGATGGACTGTATCGTTTCTGTTCGTTTGCATCTTTCAGTGTACACCCATAAATCGTGTGTACAACAGGAAGATACCAGGAACATGTATTAATTTTTTCTGGCATCGGTAAGTTTGACTTCTTCCTGATACCTGAGTTCACTTCGGCATCAACCTTGGGTTGCTAGAACTACGCGAAGTGAGATGGAGCAACCACTGACTCAATTTCCAGATGGACCAACGCGATCCTCAACATCTTAACCGATTGCTCCATCTTCATCCTCCCTATGCCTGTCATCTATCGCCTGAACATGTCGACCGGCTCGCGCATAGGCCTCGTTGTGCTCTTCTCCATGGGCTTCTTCATCTGCCTGACGACGGCGCTCCGCATGGCCACGCTCCCCTTAACCCTCAGAACCAAGGAACCGACCTACGAATCGGCGCCTACGAACCTATGGAGTTTCATTGAAGCCGCTGTAGGCGTCATCTGCGCGTGCCTGATTAGCCTACGGAAGAGCATCAGTTCAATATGGCCTAAGAAGTGGCGTAGTCACAAGGGAACGTCCGGACAGTACCATCAGTATGGGGTCGAGGGATCGAGTGGACAGGGCTTAGGGGCGTCGCGGCCACGAAACAAGACTGCGAATGGTAATACCTATCCTATGGGCGATGTAAAGACTGGAGGGAGGGGTAGGCCTGATACGTATGCGTCGATCAGTCCGAGTGAGAGCCAGGAGCGCATCATCGAGGGCGCAAAAACGTCGGCGCATGTTACGACGACAAGCAGGAGCAGAAGTGGAAGTGCAAGTGGAAGCGAAGATATAGCGATGCAGGGCATCAAAGTCACAACGGATGTCAAGGTGGTGAGGGAGTGAAGTGGAGTGTTAGGGCTTCAAATGATAGCAAATCGAGCCGTTGTGTGCTCGTAAGTTGCATGTATGATTAACGGCCACTTATCCCATACATTTTCTAGAAAATATCCAAATCATGCTAAACATGCCGACGCAAGCTTCAGTGCGAAACTCGCATCACTGTGTCCAAGCTCACACATTTGAGTCGCCTAGTGGCAACCACGTTGCTACGTCCCACGACTCGTTCGAAGATTCTACTCACACTAACGCGTCCTTTTTTTACCAGTATTCCGCAAGCGAAGAAGGGGCGAATATTCACGCACGAAATCAGCGATTGTCCGTAATCACACCACGGAATGCCAGTGTTGCGTCCTAAGCGCCGCCCGCGCCGCCCCACTCGCGGGGCTAGAACCTACGTACATTTGCGTTTGCACTTGTCAGGATAGCCTTCCAGCCGCATACACATATTTAGCGCAAACCTGGATTTACGGGTACTAGCTTTGATCGTTTGGTCCCTTCAAAGTCAAACTTCCTCGCCGCCTTCAGCCGTTCCTCCCACTCACTACCACACACTCTATAAAGAGAAATGTCTGATACTCCGTCTCATGCACAGAAAACCCCCACCCTCGCCATAATTGGCGGGGGCATTGCCGGCCTTACCCTCACCATCGCCCTCCTCAAGCATGCACCTTCCATCCCTATCACCCTCTATGAATCTGCTTCTGCATTCGGCGAGATCGGCGCTGGCGTTGGATTCGAGCCTGTCATGGTGCGCACAATGGGCCTTATTGACCCGCGCATCGCCGCCGCATTTGAGAAATGCTCCCGAGGCAATACCGTGACGGACCCACCAAAGTGGTTTACGGTGCGCGTAGGGGATCAGAGGAAGATTGTCGGTGACGAAAAGGATGGTGTTGTGCTGGAAAAGAGTGGTGAGAATAAGAAGGTGCGATTAGGCGAAGAGATTTTTACTATCCCGGCACACAGGGGGCCAAGAGGTGGTATTCATCGGGCACACTTTTTGGATGAGTTGGTTAAATTAGTTCCTGATGGCATTGCGCAATTTCGAAAGAAATTGGCTCATGTCACGGAAGCGGAGGATGGCTCAGGTAGGTTTCTATATTTCCACATCCTCTCGAAAGATATGCGATTGACATCTATCCCAAGGTGACGCAGTCTTGCACTTCGCCGACGGCTCAACCGCGCAGCATAGCGCAGTGCTAGGCTGCGATGGAATCAAGTCACGCACGCGGTCGCTCGTGCTTGGCAACTCAGACTCGACGGCTGCTGTGTTCTCCGGGAAGTACGTTTATCGGGGGTTGATTCCAATGACCAAGGCAATCGAGATCATGGGGGAAGATCAGCCAAAGACGCCGCAGATGTACGTTGGGTATCATGGGCATGTGCTTACGTTTCCGATTGCAAACGGGACGATTCTGAATGGTACCATCACTCCCTGACCCCTTCCCCCGCATATACATACTAAATATCTCCTAGTCGTAGCTTTCTCCTCGAGGCCCACCTGGACTGATCCCAACTGGGTAGTCCAGACATCCCGAGAAGACATGCTCGAGGATTATAAGCACTGGAGCCCTATGGTGCGCTCCATCATGGTGAACCTGCAGTCTTTTGACATCTGGGCACTCTTCAATCATCTCCCCGCACCAATTTACTATCGCAGCAGCCCTCTGATATGTCTCGTTGGTGACGCCGCGCACGCCACGACACCGCACCAAGGCGCGGGTGCGGGCATGTGCATCGAGGACGTCTACATTCTCAGCGAACTACTCTCACAATGCAAGTCCAAGACCGATCTCGAAGAAGCTTTCCGCGCATACGACGCGGTAAGAAGACCACGGAGCCAGAAGCTAGTCAAGACCAGCAGAGAAGCGGGGATGTTGTGGGAGTTTGAAGGGGAAGGTGTAGGTGATGACTTAGAGGCCTTGGAGCGTAATGCGACAACGAGGATGGCTTGGCTTTGGGATCATGACATCTCCACTGATTTACAGAAAGCAAGAGCTATCATTGAAGAAAAGATATCGAGCTGATTCTTCCAAGCGTAATTATATCCTACTTGAAATATATAAAAGTCTGTTGATATCCGCAATGGAAGAAATTCCAGATGAACAGCAATCTCATCATGTTCGATACCTTTAGGATCTCAACAACTAGGGAAAGTGAAAAGCGAACAAGCCAGCACAAACAGCCGGGTTAATCTTATACGTTACTAGGTTTGACTTGCTTCTCTTTTTTCGGCTTCTCCTTTCTTGAAGCTCTCCTCCACTCCATACCCACCGCTCCGAGCGAACTCAAGCAAGCAAGAATAAGCCCTATCCTGAACGTGTCAATAATAGCGCTGTTGTATGCGTGTAGGACTAATGGATACTCTTCAGGCTTAACGACGTCCTTGAAACCCGTCGCACCTGCGGAGGTTATGGCTTCGATGTTAACATCCGGGGCCATGGTAGTCAAACTTTTGATGAGGCGTGTGAAAAATACATTATTGGCAGCCGAGATGAAGATCGTGCCTCCCAGGTTCTGTACGAATACCATGAGAGCTGTGCCGATGGCGACCTCAGTGTTTCCGAGAACGGTTTGCGCGGCAGTAATGCCTTGTTGATATCCCAACCCGCCTCCGATGCCGTAGATAATTTGGTAGCCGATCCATTTGGCTGAGCTAGAGTTGACTTCGAGGGTTGTAAGAAGGCCCGCACCAATGGAAGTCAGCACTATGGAGGCCCACATCAAGGGGATGTAGTACCCTGTCATGGTGACGAAGATACCGCCCAGAACCACGAAAAGAGTTTGCGCGAGCAGAATGGGCAGTGTTTGAATACCCGATTGTAGAGCGGAGCTTCCACGGACGCCTTGGAACCAGATAGGAAGGAAGTAGACGAGAGTAAGGAAGTGCGAGCCAACCAAAAACATGTACAGCATGCCAAAGATCATAGAACGCTGCTTTATAACGCTTGTGGGAATGGTAGCATTTTCGCCACCAAAGAACTGAAGCGCCATGAAGGCGATGAGAAGGAGACCAAAGACGACGTAGAGGGCAATAACCCGGCCGCTCGAGAAAGCGAATGTAGTTCCTCCCAATTGGAGTGCAAGCAGGAGACAAGTTATCGAAGCCAGGAAGAAAGTCGCCCCGAATGGATCGAACTTCGCAAACTTTCTCCAAAGGGAAGTCGAGGTGTTGGCGACCGGTGTAGGTGGCTTTGGAGTATGCAGGAAGAATAATAGTGCTGCTAGTGTGACTCCCCCAATTGGTAGATTGATATAAAAGCACCATCTCCAGGAAACACGAGAGGTGAAGGCTCCACCGATTAATGGCGCAGCGACAGAGGCGATACCAAACATACCCACAATCATGCCCGAGTATGCTGCTCGCCTTTCCGGTTGGACCACGTATATGATCGCGATGAGCGCTAAACTATCATTACTATATTGCAAAATGATGTAGAACCGATAACGTACAGCCGGAAAACGTTCCTGCAGCACCAACGCCAGCTACAGCGCGGCCAAATATGAAAACCGGGCTGTTTGGAGCAACCGCGCAGATTAGGGATCCGACCTCAAAGATGGCCACGGCGCCAAAGTAGATCCATTTAACCGGGTAAAGAGTATATAGCTTCCCATACAGCAACTGAAAAGCGCAGTTGGTGAGAAAGTAGGCGGAGACATACCAACCGACGTCCTGAAGTGCATGGAAACGTTCTGAAATGACTGGAATAGCCGTGGCAATTATCGTAGTGTCTAGTGCTACTAGAAAGTTGCACGAGCAGAGCGACAACATAATCACAACGAGCTTGATTCCGTCCAAGTACGTGTTCTTCTCTGTAGCAGCAGGATTCTGGTGTTCCGAGACGCTGGCAATGGTCTCCGAAGGAAAAGATGTGAAGGTTTTATCCTCCCGCAAGGAAGCTTTACGTGATGGTCCTTCTTCCATGGCGGCGATAGGAAGAGTCGATGCTGTGTTGTCGTGACCTAGAGGAGGAGGTTTTTTAAGATAAACGCTAAAAGCACGGGCACTTGACGGTTCCATGAGAAAGGAAATCTAGCACTTATATAAGGGCTTACAAGCACTAACCTCTAATAAAACCTTTGCGCTAGGAGAGATAGTGAGATATGCGGGTTTGAACGCTCCTCCGCGGTGCTTGGCATTGTCGTTCTTGTGCCCGAAGCAAGAGACCTTTCTTTCACACGACGTCGAGTACAAAAACTTCAAGGATCTGGGCAGACTACTTGGTGAGAACTACCAACTCACTGAAACGAAGCCTGTGAATTATAGAGCTCTAGAAGCTAGCCTATCTTGATATTCTTGAGATTATAGTTTACAATGCTTAAAAAGAGAAACTTCTCATCCTGGAACCCAAGATTTACTTCAAATCGCACGTTTATTACTCATCTAGTCTTAGGCAATGTGAAAAACAATTCCAGTGCTCGATGTGGTAAAGGCTCCTCTCTCCCTAAGCCCTGGGAATAGAACTATTACGGCTAAGCGGTGTACATGTGCGTCTACGGTTAAAAAGTTGCGTGTTTACTTGCTCTCGGGGTTGCATGGTAGTAATATTGGGACGCGCTGGAATAGGGTCTCTGTTACTAAAAGGATATAGTTACGTAGACTGCAACTTTTAACGATGCTTGTCACGTCGGGTGAGGTTCAGGCTGATGGCGGGGTGTGCGCATTCGTCCGCCGCGGCGGAACGGGACTTCACCATTACCGGTACCTTAGTAAGCCTTCGTAACAACCTCGACCGCGGCGTTCAGTCTTCCAAAATCCACCGCAGCTTCCCATTTTCCAAACAGAAGCTGAAATCTGCCAATCTTCAATGCCGCTCAGCGTTACTAGTCGTTAGGCTCCACCAGTAGAGCGTTTCGCTTCACTTTCAGTCTCGTTGCGCGTGTTGGTCTCCCTTTGTTTTATATTAATCCTACCAATGAGATACCCGAGCTTCGAAAGAGAGGGAGAAAGCCCACCGAGGCTCAAGAAAAGGAAAATCCGTAGGGGCACGAAGAGCTGCTGGGAGTGTAAGCGCCGGAAGGTTAGGTGTACTTTTGTCGCCTCAACTGAGACTAGCTGTGATGGCTGCAAGAGCCGGCAAACTTTGTGTATCGGCCAGGAAATGGATTATCTCGAGAGGGAGGTGGACGACAGCAAGGCAGGCAGCCTAAACCTAGAAGAAGCGTTGGTCGAACAACTAGCTAAGCAAGCTAAGACTAATTCGCCGGGTTTGGTGACCCATCAGCCGCAAAATGCAAAAGTACCGAAGATGGTAAGCCAGCCGAACGCGGAGCCTTTACGTATTTATCGTAGCTCACGACAGAAAAGTGTAGCATCAGCAACAACTCACGTCACGCGGCAACTGCCTCTCCCGATTTACTAACCCCTAGTACCCGACCAAACTTAGACTTGCTTTATCATGCCAATAGTAGCCACGATGAATTGTGTGGCGCCCTTCTTGCTGCTTGGCCGACTCAGCGTGAGCTGGATTTGATGACAAGCATCACTGTCGGAACCCCAATGCTTTTCCACGGTACGGTATGCTTACCATACTCGAGTCTCCTGAGCAACGATACGGCTTCACCACGCGAAATGCTACAGCTGCCTCCACCAGGGTCTCATCCGGTTTTGCTAGCCCGTAAACTCTTACTACTAGGTTCCTTCTTGCAAGGCATTCCGCCAGAGTCCGGGAAATTCCTTAGTGAAACATGCCCAAACTACCGTGAAGTCATGTCTCACATGGTCGAGACATCAAGCAGACTGGTTACTAGCAACGACGACCTCGTTGCTTCGATCGAGGGCATTGAATGCATTATGATCGAAAGCATGTATCGAAACAACGGTGGCAAGCTTCGTCAGGCGTGGCTTACAAACCGACGGGCCATGGGCATGGCACAAATGATTGGGCTACCACTAGGCAAACTCCCGTCGCCCACTTTGCTTGACGTCCAGACCCGAGAACGTGTCAACCCAGAGTACATGTGGACTCGTCTGGTCATGTCAGACCGCTACCTCTCGCTTACTCTCGGCTTACCGCAGGGCTCTCAAGAAAGTCCATTTGCTACTCCGCAAGCTCTGAAGGGCTGTGCGCCGATGGATCGCATGGAGCGAATCGAGGCAGCAGTCGGAGGGCTCATTATCCAGCGAAACAGCCAAGACTTGCTCAACCTTAAAGCTACACACGAAATAGATAAGCAACTTCAGGATGCTGCCGCCTCGATGCCAGCCAAGTGGTGGCTATTTCCTAATGTGGCGTCTCTTTCCGGTTTTGACGCAAACGCATTTAGCGAGACGTTCCGCATTATGACTCAGTTTACGCACTTTCACCTACTCGTACAGCTGCACCTACCGTACTTGCTGCAATCCTCCGGGGACAGGAAATACGATTATAGCAAGATTACTGCTGTGAATGCTAGTCGAGAGATACTCTCACGCTTCGTGGCTTTCCGCGGGTTGGACATTATCGCTGCTTACTGTCGCGGTGTCGATTTTATTGTCTTCATTGCAAGCACAACTTTATGTCTCGCCCATATCGATGCATCCCGCCAGCTTAGAAACAGCTTGGACAACGCAATAAGCGCCCTTTCATTTCTCGCCCACCAGCGCCTCGGCGATCGTGGTCTACTGGAACGTATACTCCAGATCATGGAAGAGATGACTCGGACCGATAGCGATCCCATAGCAAGCAGAATTGCTAGCATGCTGCAGCGATTGCTTGATATCGAAGTTGCCGCTGCAAACGGCGACTCCTACAATGCTAGTATGTCCTTCGATCTTGGTGATCAGGCAGTTTCAAAGGGCGACAATACGACAGAGGATGGTGATAAGATGAGTATCACCATCAGTGTGCCATCTTTGGGGAATATCAGAATTGAGTCGCAAGCAAGGGCAATAGCAACAGATAAAGACTTTCTAGCTTTGATGGAAGACCCTTTCGACGTCCAAAGCTTACTGTTCCCTGAGCCGATAGCAGGCACAGCTGACTGGGCGTTACAGGGCGTGGATTATGCCTTCTTTGACACTCTCAATCATGGCACTGAGAACTCACTCACAACTAGAGAGGAACTTGGAATGTGGTGAGGATTGGAGTTGGCAGATTAAGCCAAAAAAAAAGTATTTTACCGAAACTACGCAATTTATCCTAGTTTCGGCCATATTCAAGCACTATTTTTGGCATACTCAAGCCCCGCCGAGTGAGTTAGAGGCTCGTCCCGCCGTACCTATACCTCTTTCGAGTGCCAAGCTCGCTTTTCATCGCATGCGAAATCCTCAGCTTCAACTTGAAAAAATAGAGGCATGCAGGCTAATCATATTTCTCTACAACAATATGCTTACAACAACGTAATAACAACCTTTGAAGCTCCTGGGGCAACCGAAACAACACCCTCACTGGAGACTTCACCGCCATTAGCACTATTTACCTTGCTATTGACGACGACGAGCTCCCATGTGCTGTTCGACTTGCCCTCAATAACGTCGACGGAAGCCTCCGATCCGCTGGCCTTGATTCTCAATGACAACACACTCTCACCCAAAGTCTCGTGATTCGGTATGTCCACCGTGGCATCCATGCCCTCTTCGATGTTTACCAACACCTTGAAGCCATCTGCCCAGTCATACTCTACCTTCTCACCCCCTTTGCCCATCGCTACAGCACCACCCGGCTTGAGCAGCACGGGCAGAGTAAAGAAGTCAAACGTCTCTGTCACGTAGCCGGGACCTTTGCGGAGCTTCTGGTCCAAGATGCCGTACCATTCGCCCTTAGGAAGGTAGTAAGTGACAGTGTCATCCTCACTGAAAACAGGCGCAACGAGAAGGCTGTCGCCCAGCATGTACTGCTGGTCGAGATGCCATACCGCCGGATCCGAAGGATATTCGAGGAACATGGCGCGAAGCATAGGGATGCCGGTATGGTGAGTGGTGATAGCCTGGGAGTATAGGTAGGGCATGAGTTGGTGCTTGATCGAGACGAAGTGCTTGAGCACCTTGGATGCTTCTTCCGTCTCATCGATCAGCCATGGCACCTAGTTGAGGTTAGCGAACAATTTTGAAGGCAAAGAGGTCTGGGTTACGTACTCGGAATGATGCACTACCATGCAACCTCGAGTGCGAGGAAAACAATCCAAAAGCGATCCATCGCTTGAACAGCGCCGGGTCGGGCTTTCCTTCAAATCCACCAATATCATGCGCCCAGTACCCAAATCCACTGAGCGCTAGTGACAGACCACCGCGAAGGGTCTCAGCCATAGCTTCAAAGGTGGAATACGGATCGCCTCCCCAGTGTACTGGGAATTGTTGGCAGCCTGCTGTCGCCGATCGTGCAAACAACGCCGCATTGTTCTTCCCGTAGTTCTTTTCTAATACCTCGAATGTGACCTTGTTATACAAGTATGCGTAATAGTTATGCATTTTCGCAGGATCCGAGCCGTCAAAGTAGACCGTGTCACCGGTAGGAATGCGCTCACCGAAATCAGTCTTGAAAGAGTCGACGCCGATATCCACGAGCTTTTGCAGCTTTTCTTGATACCATTTGCAAGCGTCTGGGTTGGTGAAGTCGATAAAACCCATGCCGGCTTGCCAGAAGTCGTACTGCCACACACTACCGTCGCCACGCTTGATGAAGTAGCCCTTCTCGGCTGCCTCGTCAAAGATAGAGCTCTCCTGTGCAATGTACGGGTTGATCCAAACGCAAATACGGACACCCTTGTCTTTCATGCGCTGCAGCTGGCCCTTGGCGTCAGGGAAGTAGTCCTTGTCAAACTCGTAATCGCACCATTCGAAGCCCGGCATCCAGAAACAGTCGAAGTGAAAAACGCTTACGGGGATGTCGCGCTCCTTCATACCATCGAGAAAGGAAGTGACAGTATTTTCATCGTAGTTGGTGGTGAAGGATGTGCTCAGCCAGAGACCGAAAGTCCATGCTGGTGGGAGGGCGGGAGCACCAGTGATCTTGCTGTAAGAGGAGAGTATGTCTTTCGGAGATGAACCATGGATAAGATATATGGAGAGAGATTCTCCAGGAACGGCGATGTTAACTCTGGTTGTGCGCTCGGATTGGATCTCGAGCGACACAAAGCTTGAGGTGGGAATGAAGACGCCGTAACCAGCGGATGTGATGAAGAAGGGAATGTTCTTGTACGTGAGTTCAGAACCGGTACCACCATCATCGTTCCACATCTCGATTGTCTAATTCTCGTGAGCGATGTACTTGACCATTCTCATGGCATCTTCTTACCTGTCCGTTCTTGGCAAACGGTCCAAAGCGCTCCCCTAAACCATACACCTTTTCTCCAACGCCTAGCTGCAGCTGATACGTTACCCATCTCTTGCCCTTGTTTGGGTCTGTGTAATTAGCTTTGGGATGCAAAGCCGTGGTGCCCTCCTTGACATAGCCTATTGATCTCCATCCAAGTTTAGTAAGCTGCTTCTTCCTGTGGCGGAATACGAGATCGAATGCTTTGGGCTGCGTATTGACCGTGGCCGATAGATCACCAACACTGAATGTTAAGCTTTCGTCATCCTTGGACGTTGTGATGGGAGCTGCATGCTTTTCTTGGCCGTTGGGGAACAACTCGAAGTTTGGCGCTTGGGTTACGCTCTTCTGCTGTCTCCAGTGCGTTGATGACAGGTAGATGACATTGTCGATAGGAGAGCTAACGTGATGTGTCAAGGTTGGGTTGTTCAGAGTATCACCTCTGAAGTTGATGGGTTTAGATGCCTGGGGTGAATTAGTTAGATAGCATCCTGTATATGAGATTTTGGACACCTACTGTAACAAAATGCAACGAATCCTCCCTCGCCTGGGCTTTTACCGTCTCCACTGCCCAGTCAATGAGTGTGTCAGGCGCAGGATGCCAACAGCCATGAGAGAACTTCACCATGTCGATTGATATCCGGGCGTGTGACGTTCACGATAGCAACTCTGGAATCCCTCATATCTTATAGAGAGCCTTAAGATTTCCGACGATTCCCCATGGTGGATCCCGAACGATCCCTATCAGTGGAGACGAACCAGACAGCTTACCACCGGTTGAGGTGCAGCTTCAGATGTCTTCGTATTTTCGCAGTCGCATGTGGGCCTCATCGAGTCAGAAGGAGCTGGCCAGGTCCAATCGAAAGCGATATCATGAGTTGAAGCGGATCGTATGACCTCCAATAACGACTTAGCGCTGAAGGGTGATGTTCGGTAACCGGATAAAGTCCCCAGATACACGTGAGGTGGCCGGTTAAAGGCGCAAGCAGGCCTCCAACGTGGAGTATTCCGCCAAGCATCTCGTATTTAAGGCGTGCAACTCCGCTCCTGATCCCCCGACTTTTTAAACCGCTTGCTCAACTCGTCTTCTAAACAATTTTCATAGCCAATCAGAACTGAAATCAGCTCCTGGATAAACTGGTTAAATGCGACTCTCTGCCGATCATGTGCACGACATTCGGTACAAGTACCGAGCCCTAGGCCTCACTCAGAGCACACCACGACTCATGCCGGCTTCCGATCGCGCAAACTTTTCCAAGCATACGGTTGCGACAGCTAGTTCCAGGGATTCGGTGTAGTCTGGGGATCTCCATGGGGGTCAATATATAAATAGCGGGGACATACCATGCAACGCTACTTTGGCATATCACTCTATTGCTTTGTTCCTTAGACGTCGTCTTATCATCGTCATCAACGACCACAGTGCTATGGCGACTTCGATCAAGCCGCGTGTGAATGGGTACACTTGGGGTTGTGGCCTGTTTGCAGCGGTTGGCTCTCTGTTGTACGGCATCGACTCTGGCATCGTCTCAACAACCATCGCACAGAAGGCATTTATCGAGTACTTCGACCCTTTCACCCCTTCCCTCAAAGGCGCTCTTGTCAGCACGTTTGGAGCCGGCTCTGTATTTGGAGTCTTCTTCGCAGGGTGGTCTGCCGATTATTTCGGCCGTAAAAGGACCATCATGATTGGAGCCATCGTCGCGCTCATCGCTGGTATCATTCAAGCCGCGTCCATCAACATTGGCATGCTCATAGCTGGACGTATCATCGGTGGTTTTGCAGTCGGCATAATGAGTCAGTAGTACCAGAGTTCCAAAAACCGCTCGTGCACTGACTTTTCGAGATATGACCATCCCCATCTACAATTCAGAGATTGCTCCTCCGCACAAACGGGGTATGATATCCGGCCTCCATGCACAGTTCGTCGGTATCGGGTTCGCTTGCGCCAACTGGGTCGGCTTCGGGTGCTCCTACTCACACGGGCAATTCCAGTGGCGTTTCCCTCTAGCATTCCAGTGCCTTCCTGCTATCATCGTTCTTCTCGGCGTCTTCTGGCTCCCATTCTCTCCTCGCTGGCTTCTCGAACAAGAGCGTGACGATGAAGCTTATGCGGTCATCAAGCGACTCCACGGAAATACTGGTGATGACACATTCTTTCGAGCTGAATTCACTCAAATGCGCGACCAACTGCGCTTTGAGAAGAGCCAACAAGCTACAGGCTGGAAGGACTGCTTCGCCACCAAGAGCAACAGGAAGAGAATCCTGCTTGCCGTGCTCGTTCAGGCGTTCACGCAGCTTTCAGGTGTCAATGTTATCAACTACTATCAGACCGATCTGTACAAAGGGCTGGGTCAGACTGGCCATATGGTTACACTCTTGGCTGGTGTATACGGCCTTGTAGGCCCAATTGCCAACGTAATCTGCCTTAGATACGTCGATACGTGGGGTCGCAAGAAGACCCTCTGGATTACTGGCCTCATCATGTCTCTCGATATGGTTCTCGTCATGGGCCTTAGCGGCGCTTATGGAAAGTCTAGCAACACGGTTGCAAAGGGCGTCACCATCGCCTTTATTTTCTGCTTTTCCATTATGTGAGTATTCATATCACTACTTTCATAGACCACGTGCTAATCTCTCAAAGCTATTCTCTTGGCTATAACTCGATCCACTACATCTACGTTCCGGAGATTATGACGATGGCTATCCGCGCAAAGGGTTCCTCCATCTCAGTCATCTCCAACGTCCTCATCAACATTGTATTCAACCAAGTCTCGCCTATCGCGTTTACTGAGGTCGGATACAAGTATTACTCGCTGTTTATCTGCACCAACCTTGTCGGTGCTGTGGTCGTATTCTTCATTTTCCCGGAGACAAAGGGCAAAACGCTCGAAGAGATAGCCAATATCTTTGGTGATGAGGTTATCGTTGCAGACTTGGCGACTGTGAAGGAGAAAGTAGGACATGAAGAGGATGGCAATGACGTTGTAATGGTTGAGGATAAAGAGGCGAAGAAAGATACTTGAGTACAGAAAGATGTGTTCTTAACATATGGGTCCCCGGCATGGTGGAACTACTATATCCCTTGAAGCCTTTCTGGGTTAGGGAGGAATGCGGGTCGCTGCCGTGCCCAGTCCCGTGCCTTACCTACTCGCTTGGAACCGAGAACTAGGGTGTATAGTATGATGTGCGCCTCCCGCCCTCTTCTACCACTTACAGCATTGTACCTACCAAGTGCTTTAGATCTTTCCCATCTCGCAAAATACGCATTTTCTGCATCTTTTCACTCTCCCCTCGCCCTCCTAACGGCCCTTCATTTTCTTCGTGTCGGCCTTACCTTATCACTAGCGAGGATCCGAAACCTCCAACTTCAACTTTGAACTGTTGCTGCATGCTTTTTTGTCAGAGACTATTGAACTTGGCCCATTATACCTATCTGAAAAGCGCTTAGGAATCCTGGAACAGCAGCTCTTGCCTTGCACGAGAGTCAGATGGACAGACTAATGGCGATATCGAAGCGTATAGGGAGTTGTGTACGAGTTGCCGATAGGACTATTTTTACGATGGTGCCTCAGATTAGGTGCTTGCCTGAGCAGAACTGCGCAGGTTTAGATCTTTCAGAGTGGTCCTGGGGTTGTGTTAGAATTGAAGCAGATATATTCGTTCGAGAGGGTGCCTAAAAGCCCTTGAGAAACCTCGAGGCTAAAGCTTGTGAAGAACTATCTTTAGATAGCCGTGTGTTGGCATGGGGGATCACCCGCAAGCTCGCGTCAACTCCGCTAACGATGACGTGCGCGTCACACAACACGCCAAACACCAATCAAGACGCGGTTGTTGACACGACGCGACATCACTATCTATACCCTGAACCTGCGACATATTTGACGCAGATGATGCCTTCTGCTGACAATTGTATGCCTTGCCTCGGAATACACGTTGCACCGACTCGCATCATGGAATGCAGCATCATCCCGTGGCACTTGAGCCAAATGCACGGCAACAACGACGTAGCAACAACACTTGCACCTTGAACATGCCTCCAGACGAACAGGAACCCTTGTTGTCGCGATCCGCTTCGCCGACAGACAGCAATAAGACCTTTGTTTCCGGCGATGAGTCCAGTACCACCGTCGGCGAAGGGACAACGCGCTCCATCGAAGACGATGTGCTCCCAGAAACATCAACCCTCGGGCGGACCATAAACTGGCCCAGTGCCTACATCCTCGTCATCTCGCGTGTCATCGGAAGCGGCATATTCGCAACACCAGGCGTCATTGTGAAGTCGGTCGGAAGCGTTGGTCTCTCGCTCACACTATGGGTCGTTGGAGCTATCATCGCAGCCTGCGGACTCGCAGTGGGATTAGAGTATGGTTGTATGCTACCTCGTTCGGGCGGCGAGAAGGTCTATCTGGAGTTCACGTATCGGAAACCGCGGTTCCTAGCGAGCACAATGGTTGCGACACAGGCTGTGCTGCTAGGCTTTACAGCAAGTAACTGCATCGTTTTCGCGCAGTATACGCTCTACGCGTTCGATATCGAGGCTACAGATTTCTTGCGGAAGAGCCTGGCTGTAGGGTTGCTTACTGTGATCACGATTATACATGGTTGCTTCAGGACGGCTGGTATCAGGATCCAGAACTTCCTTGGATGGATCAAGGTTGGGCTTGTTGTTTTCATGATCTTTGCTGGCCTTTTCGCCGTCGCCCTTCGACCTCAAGGACCCGACGGGAAGAGAAGTCACTTTCCAACCGGACCAGACCTGTGGAAGGACACAGACTGGAGCTGGGGCATTATTTCAACATCTCTGTTCAAAGTATTCTATTCATTCGCCGGCTTGAACAACGTCAACAACGTTCTGAATGAAGTGCGAAACCCGGTGCGGACGCTCAAGTCGGTTTCCATCACCGCACTCGTAACGGCATGTATTCTGTACTTGCTGATCAACGTCGCGTACTTCACCGTTGTCCCTCTAGACGAGGTCAAGGATAGTGGAGAGCTCATTGCGGCGCTGTTCTTCGAGAAGGTCTTCGGGGCGCGGGTAGGAAAGACGTTATTGCCGCTTGCTGTGGCATTGTCAGGAGCTGGGAATGTTATGGTCGTCACATTCGCCTTAGTATGTTTCTGCAAATCCTAGACTTGGGCGGTGGCTATTCTAACTGCAATCAGGCGCGTCTTAACCAGGAAATCGCCCGCCAGGGTTTCCTCCCCTATTCCAAGATCCTCGCATCCTCACACCCCTTCAACGCACCTCTCGGGGGACTAATAGTGCACTATATACCTTCGCTCCTTGTCATCGCACTTCCACCGTCCAGCGAAGTATACTCCTTTATACTAGAAGTAGAGGGTTATCCTGGTCAAGTGTTTGCACTAGCGACGTCCGCTGGACTGCTGTGGCTGAGATATAAGAGACCAGATCTGAAACGGCCATTCAGAGCGTGGAGGGCCGCTGTCGTCCTCCGTGTCGTCTTGAGTGTATCACTTTTGGCTGCTCCTTTCTTCCCGCCGAAGGGCGGGCGGAAGAAGGGTGAGCTCTGGTATGCAACGTATGCAGTTGTCGGCATCTCGGTGATCATCTTTGGATTTTTGTACTGGTACGTTTGGATCAAGCTCATTCCGCGGTGGAAAGGCTACCGGGTGGAAGAGGAAACAAGCGTCCTTGACGACGGGACAACGGTTACCTCGCTTGTTCACGTTGAGATTTAGACTAGACGCGTTTCAACACGCTAAACATGTCAGAAATGCACACGTTGATCGTGTAAATACGGTGTTGAGTAATTCACCAAGTGACGTGACCTCGTATGTGCATTTAGGATAAGACATGCGCCCTTCGGTTTATCAGCATATAATAGCTTCAGCCAATTGGAACCGCATCCTCCTGTGCTGTAATCCAGCGGACGATCTACGGATGCTTCAACGTCCTCGGCAACATTTCAAATCCAATCACCCAGTGTTCTCACCATATTGCGTGCTGCGGGGAAGCTAGATAGCTGACATATCCCGCGTGAAACATCAACCTCACATAACGCGGGTATAAGAAATCGGAGGGACCACTGGAATAATCTACAATCAAAATCATATCTTCGCATTAACTATCAAGATAAAACTATACTTGACTATTCAGTATGGCGACCGCAGCAGTTATCCCTCCTTCCTCAACACCAACCCACACTCCCCAAACACTCCAATCAACCGCCCCCTCCACCACCTCTGGCCCCCAAGACGTCCACTCAGTGCTGCACTATTATAAGCCCAATGCCGACGGCTCGCCGCCACAGCCAACCTACACGGATCGACCAGAGACGTATGACCGCCCCTTTGAAGTCCACCCAGCAACTATCCGCGACGTACGAGGCAGCGAAAACAAGTATACCCTCGATGGCAATGGCTTCCAATTCCACCGAAACAGTGCGCAAGAGAAGGACTTTCTAGATGACGAGAAGATTAAGAGCGGATACTATGCTGAGACTGAGCAGCTGCTGAAAGACGTGTACGTATTCATACTTATTATACACCCGTGATCTCCAAATGTAAGATACGAGACTGACGCCTAACCTAGTACGGGCGCATCCCGCGTCTTCATCTTCGACCACACGATCCGGCGCCAGCCCCCTGGCCTCGCAGCTGCAGGCCGCAACCTACGCGGGCCGGTGCAACGCGTACACATTGATCAATCTTACTCAGCAGCTCTGTCGCGCGTGCCTCACCACTTACCTGAAGACGCGGAGAAGATCCTCAAAGGCCGCGTGCAAATCATCAACGTGTGGCGTCCGATTAAGACGGTGCAGCGCGATCCGTTGGCGGTCGCTGAGGCGAGTAGTGTAGATGATGGCAGTTTAGTTGTTACTGAGTTGATTTATCCGAATCGGAGGGGTGAGACGTATGCTGTTAAGCATGATGCTGGGCATCGGTGAGTTGAAGAGCCTGTACGTCGAAGAAAATGGTGGCTAACATGCATTTTCAGGTGGTTCTATAAATCTGGGTTGACGCCTGATGAGGTTTTGCTTATCAAGTGCTTTGATTCCAAGCTCGATGGGAGGGCGAGGCGCGTGCCGCATACAGCATTCCATGTTCCGGGCACAGAGGACAAGGAGGGACGGGAGAGTATTGAAGTCAGAGCGCTGGTGTTCCATGAGGATGATACTCTGGAGTAGGAGCACATACTAATGACTTTCTGGTAGTAAGATGCTATAGTATCGCCGAGTTCTTCCTAAACGATTTGTATAATGATTTGCGAGTTCTTTATCCCGCGTGGGTCTTTACCGCTCTATCATGATCAGTGTCAACGGCGATTCTCATTTCCTTCTCTTCCTTTGTTCTCAAACAACTCGTGACGCTCTGTCATCATTTTCATTGCCGCTGTAGTACCCATCATCATCCGCACTACTTCTCTCCACCAACTCGTACTCCTCTTCCGCACTCTGCACAGCCTTCCCGGGCCCATAATCAACGTCCTTGAACATGCGCCAGAAAATGCATCCCGTCCCGGTAGTAGCAATCGCCAATCCGAAATATAGCCACTGTTGATGCGGATCCTTCGCAAGCGGCGCTAACAGTATACCGAGAGCACTACCACCCGCCGATGTAAGTAGGAAAAGACTCATAATGAAGCTCTTCATGTTGGCGGGCGCCTTGGCATACGCCAATTCTAGGCCAGTAATGCTGGCTAGGATTTCGCTCAATGCGACTAATATGTATGCTGGCGCTTGCCACGCCACATGTAATTCGTTCGGCTTGTATCTACCGCCGCCACCCTCGATCATGCCAGCGGCGCATTTCAACGGATGCGAATAGCACGGTGGTGCGGCGTATATGACTGTTTGCAAGATGCCAGCGTAAAGCATGGCGAGCGCAGCGAAGAGAAAGCCAAGTGTGATGCGAGTAATAGGCGTGAAGGCGAAGTGGAGGCGCGTCCGGATGAAAGGGTATATCAGCCGGTCCATGATTGGGATAAGAAGGATGATGGTGATAGGGTCAAGGTTAGGGAGAATGTCGTTTGGGAGAGAGTGGAGTTGCATTTGGCCGGCTAAGAGGATGTGTCAGCAAGAAACAACAGCGCGAATGCGGGTGAGAATACCTTGCGAGACGAAATTATTCATCATCTGCGAGAACGTAACCCAATACATTGGGAAAAAGAGGAAGACCTTGCACGCCACTAGTGCAGTCTTCAGTTCTTCAATGAATGCATCGTCCCAGGTTACTTTAGACTTCCCAATTCCATGTTCTTGTGAGGAAGGCTTAGCTTTATCCAAATCTCCTCCACTCCTCGCTGCAATCCAGAGTGCACGAAAGCAATTTCCAATGACGCCGCCCTGTGGCGGCTTGATCACATATCTCTTCTTCCCAGTCACCAACACTACATAGCCAACGCAGAACATGAGCAGCGGCAGTAGATATGCGCTCCAAAATCCAACATGCAGCTCCAGCATTGTCGTCGCAATGGCTGATATCGAGCCCAGATTGATGCACATGTAGAACACCATGTAGACTCTCTGTACTGTAACTTCCGGATCAACAATGACCTGCTTCCCGCTGCGCAGTGTCTTGACAAAGGGCTTCGTAGACCGCACCTGCTCAGCAACCAACGGCGAAACATTGCTCTTAATTCCACCAGTACCCAACCCAATAACCACCATTGCGACAATGAGCCCAGGAAACGCTGCTCCCCGTTCAATACTCCAAGGCAAGCTCGTGACAAACAGAATCGCTATGCCAACCATGTACACAACACTAAACCACTTAATCGTCGCGTACTTCCCCAGATACTGGTCCGCCACCACTGCGCCCAGGATAGGCGTGACATAGCACCAGAACTGGAAGAAATTCGTCATCGCAGTCGCACGCGCCTGCTTCAGTCCAAGCGCGCCAGGAAGCCCATTCGCATCGTCGTGGGCGTTGGCGATGTAATTCTGAAACGGCCCCGAAAGGCCATAGTAAGCGAAGCGCTCGCAGAGTTCGACGATGGCGACGAGGAACGCGCCGTAAGGGACTGTGTCCGCTACGCGCGGTAGGAAGAGGAGATCTTCTGGCGTGGGAACAGAGCCGATGTAGACTGGAACGTCTAGGTCTTTCGCTTCTTCTTGCTCGTCGTCGTTATTCACTAATAACACCTCTTTGCCATGCGCTGTCAGGCCGGCGGAAGATCCCTCGGTCTGCGCAACGGTTGTGTATACACCTCTTTCTTCACTCTGGCGCGAACGCCATGCTGAAGGCATTTCTTAGCCAAGGATCCCTCACACACACACTGGATACTAAGTGCAACTATGTCGCTGAATTCGCCTCTTCCTCGTCCGTTACCCCTGTCTAGAGCCGAAGAGGAGATATGGTAGCTTATTTGTATGGGCTGTGCGTAACTCATTGCATCTGCCGCGTCTCGAATAACACAAGCTCATCAAAGAAAGGTGTCAGCATTCCGGTGACCCCGAGCGATTGAGAGACAGGGGCTGTGAAAGGATTGAAGACACGATGCACGTTCACGGAGGTGAGACCGTGTCCGCTTCGGTCTAAGCCGAATCTGGACCTGAATAGCGCCACATGCACCAGCCACAACGACTATTCGAGTGTTTTGCAAGTAGACTGAAAGATGCGTGTGTAGTAAGATAGTATTTCCGCTCTATCGTTGAGGCGACTAGTCTGAGTGACAGCTGCATAGATAATCCTCCGCCCGCCGATGCGATTTCATCACTTCTTCCCAGCGAAGAACCTTGTCAACCTCCCTCCAACCTCCTGGACACCCGCTCCATCGACCAGACTTCCTCTGATCCATTTTGGCAGTTTATCTTGAATGCGCTTACTCCCATACCGGCGATCCAACATCAAAATCGCCGCATAGTCTCCTTTATGCCTAATGGCTCGCCCAACACACTGGTTCACAGCGCGCATACACGCATTCTCGTAGTACTCTCTCGCTGCTGCTTTGCCGTCTCCTCCATTCTGTGCTTCCTTGGACGAAATGTACTGCATCTTCGCCTTCCACTCCGCAGAATGGGGGTTGGGAAACGGCAGGCCAACGACAACCACGCCGCGACCGAGCGCGTCGCTGAAGTTTATGCCTTCAGAAAGCGTGCCGCCGATTACAGCAAATAGGAGGGCGCCACGGCCATTTCCGCTTGCGACGGCGGCGCTGTAAGCCATAAGGACAGAGTCTACGGCTGCTTCTTTTGATGATGAGGCTTGGCCAGACGGCAACTGTTGGCTGCGCTGTTCGAGAAAGACGGGCTTCGTTTGGGTAAAGCTATCCCAGAAAGTCAAATTTGAAGAAGGTGGAGAGAGACGTTTCCAGGCTGCGATACAGGTATCAAGGTAAGCGTAGCTGGGAAAGAACACTACGAGGCCGTCCGGAATATGCTGGGCGAACGTGAGCATACCAAGGCCGAGATCCGTTATCGTCTTCTCTTTGTTGCGGCTCTCGAACGTGAAGTCGAAGTCTACGGCGCTCGATGTCTTAACAACGGGTACGGCGAGAAGGTTGGAAGTCGGAATGACATGACCGCAAGATAGCGTGGTGATTTTTGAAGGACTTAGGTATGAAAGTAGATGTTGCTCATAGTCGCTCATCGGGGACATCGTACCGCCCGCCAGCACGACTGCTCTCGCATCCTCTACGATGTCTCTGAAATGAAACGTCGGGTCTAAAAGCATATATCTTAACGTGATGCTAGAGCCATCTTCTTTCGAATAGAAGAAGCGGCCTTCCGCGGATGGATTCATTAGTGAGAGCAGAAACGCCTGGACGTGCATCAACACAGGAACAGTGTGTCTCGGACCTTGCTTAGTCGCGCTTTTTGGGTTATTACTGCCATTTTCAGCTGATACTTGCGAAGAGTATGCGGTGTACCCATCAACCTTTCGTGCGAGCCTGCTCTCCTGCAGGTACGTGTTTAGCTTGAAGATATTGATTTGGTCAACGCCTTTGCCAGACATGATTGATGCCATGTCAACCAGACCGTCAGCTACTTTTGCAGTGCCATCGATGGATTGTAGATAGCCGATAATCGAATCGAGTATCCGCACAGTTTGAGCAACGTAAACGCGATTCTTGCCCTTCAGCTTGTTGCGAAACTTTTGAAGGTAGACAGCGAGCTGCGCACGCGACTGCTGCACCTGCTCAAGGGTCACAGAGACGGAGTAGATGCCAGCTATAGCATCCATAAGATTGTGAGCTTCGTCAATGATGATCACATGGTCTTTGAGTGAAAGTCCAAGCGCTTCACGAGCTGTTCGTTGGAGAAGGAGCGGATATGGTAAGGTCACAATCTGCGAGAATCAGCAAACCAATAGTAGACAGCCTTAAAGATGCAATGCTCACCTCGCAATACTTTGTCGCTGGTCGAGAAGCGTAGTAGGGACATACACCCAGCTTCTTACCTAGCGAGCCTAGATCCTCGATGTCCCTGATCTTGGCAAGCGCATGGTCTCTGAACTCGGCTATCAAAAGCTCATTTTCCTTTGTTGCCATATGCGGACAGCGGCCCTCAGCACTAGTACTTTGCTGCAGCTCTAGACACCGCTCGTTGATCGCAGTAGCGCTTCCGAGCCGGTTGACCTTGCTATTGATGCAGAGGTTCTTTCTTGAGCCAAGAGTAAGGTGTTTCACATCTTCTACAAGGTCATCCTCATAAGAGTCATCAACGTGAGACTCCGGGGTGATTGCCGGGGGAATTTTCACTCGTCCTAGTTCGTTGGCGAACTGCGTCAACTGCGAGTGTGTGCGGGAGCAAAAGAAGATCTTTGTCTCGTCCGGCACTTCTCCTTCGTCCCTCGACTCTCCGACAGCGAATCCAAGCTTTTCCATAAGCGCTTGGGTCTCCGTCGAAAGCCCAGAATCGTTAAATGTGCCGGTTAACGCTCGCTTATTCGACTCTGTGTCGCTTTCGTAGTCATCTAAGGCAAATTGCGCCTCGCCATCGTCCCCGTCAGCCTCGCCTGGTGCGACTTTTCGTCTTTTAGAGCTTGGCTCTCCGTTCTCGTAACGCGCTTTGGTACGCTTCTCCTTCGCCTTGATCTTAGCAATCCGATCATTGAGCTCCTGTCTACGACGAAGTGCTTCTTGCTTTCTTTGCTTCTGCGCGTGTTCAATGATCCAGGCTGGCTCATCGCTACTCGCTGCGTCAATTGCAAAGCCTTCTTCAAACGTGCGTCTCTTGTGATGGCGTAACCAGGTCAATGATCCGCAAATCAGGCTCAAGGATTTGCCGGTTCCGGTTGGCGATTCGAAAATGCCGACTTTGCCATCTTCAAGGCAGTCGTAGACAGCATTCATAAACTCCTTTTGAATCTCATATGGCTCGTACGGGTGGTGGAAATCCCGCGCGTGGTGGTCGTCGTCCATAAGTGGATGAGGTCATGGAGGTGCGGACGCAGGAAACGCGTCGCGCTAGGGAAAACGGGTGTTCACGTGGTGCGCTAACTCGATGCGCTTGGACGATTATCGCCACTTGCGGGTCCTGCCACCGAACTCTTCGCGTTCACAATGCTTCTTGAGGTCTATAGATTCTGCGAACACTTTTTGCATTAAAAAGCTACGATAAAGATATCTCTTCTTCACTTAACATCAACGGACCTTCCATACAGCACACCTCCTCTTGCACTATTCCTGAGTAGTCTTATACTCATTTCCATGGTATACACAGCTCCTTCACCCGGTTATCCCCCGGTCACTTGAACTCACACTTGCTGTCATATTGACACCTCGGCCTACTTCTGCTTACTTTCCCTGGTTTGTTGCCCACCGAAGACAAGACTCGTCGTCATGTTTGTCTGATTTAGTCTTCGTCAGTCTGCCCAATTTGGTCACTATTCGTACTGTCTACGCTGTCGGAACGTGAGATCATAGCGTAGTGGGAGTGGAAGGCAGCGCTAGGTCTGAAGATTTCTTCTTTGATAGATGAAAGGCGTGAGACTTCATGGTTGTAGCCGTCCTCTAAAGAGCGTGTTCTGAACTGTCGGCTGGGCCAGATCCAGCGTCCGCCGCCAAGGGGTGACTCGGGGTCTTGTCGGCGCAGCAATTCGGAGGGGTGGTACGCATCGTAGTTGCGGTAGTCGGTCTGATACTTAGCGAATGGCCGATATGCCTTGAGTTTAGCGTCGTCGCTTGTGTTGAGATCAGACTGGTCACCGTTCACATCGGATAGAGTGTAGCTGCCATGGTTGATTGGATGAAAATTGAGCTGGCAAGGAGACACGTCTGTCGTATAATCGAGTGTAGGGGAGACGTCGAAACGGGTGATGATGCGAAGACCTTCCAAGCGACTTTGTAGAGGCACGATGTTACTCGTGTCACTACGCCCAATGTTCGGGTTGATCTCCATAGGACATTGCTTCTCCGGGTCCTGATTCGAACAAGACTGCATATTGGACCAATGATTGCACTCCATAATTTGATGGATTTGTTGTAGATTTGCTTTGTGAAGCACACGTCAAGGCTCTGTGGATAGAACTTGTTCAAGTGGATGTTGCTGATATATCTTTCTGGTTTGTACCCCGTTCTTTGGGAGCAGAGAAGCAGTCTTTATATGAACCATAGAAGTCTGATCGAAGATACTAGAGAGGGTGCGACGGATCGTGAGACATTTTGATTTGCCGGGCTAGACCCCCTCGGGGTTTCCGAGCATAGCCAACTAGGGATCGGCGAACTACTTCCGAAAACATCTTTGTCGAAGTGTTAAACCGGAGGCAATTACCGGCACCTTGATTGGTCTTTGCAGTGCCTCGACGATTTTCAGGTCTCCGATGCCCATGTTCTAAGACGACACGTGAAGATCTCAACTTTGACTGGATCAAAGAATGTGTTCTATTCCATTGTGCAATGTCCTCTGCCAAAGACTCTTGACTGCGGCCATTAATAGTCGCAAGAATTTCCCACGTTCGTTATCGGGAAGCATGTTGTCGTTCTTTTTGTCTGACTTTACATGGCCGAACTTAGCTCATCGAAGTTAACAACCTCAACAGTGTGAAAGCCAAGGTCTCAAACAGGTATGACCGAACTTCGGATTTCGGACATGGCGAGATCTATACGCGTAAGCGGCCCCGAACGCAACGGTACGTCTGGCTACAGCTACAATATTCGCAGAGCACCAGGCGCATCTAGAGCACAAGTGCCTGGCGCATACACGTGAACAGTCCGGGACGTGATAACTAGTTAAGAGGTGATGCAGCTGCAGATCGTTTATCGTTGCTATCATCGTTGGGCGGCAGTGGACGGCAGTGTAAAGCGATGGAGAGTCGCTCGATGCAGGCTTGTCAATAATCGTGGGGTCAAGGTGCGCTGATAATGATGCTGGGCAGTGTCTCAGTCTACAACACCCAGCCAGTAACCATTTTAGCAAGAACAATGTAAGCATGTTCCTAGTAGAAAAAGTCACGCAATAACGACGTCAGTCACCTTGGCCAGCAATAGAACTAGGAGTTGTCAGCAAGGAATGAAAATACGTACGATCAAGTTGTGACTCCACTTCTTAACGTTTTGCAGCACAGACTGGACCGTGAATTCGGAATGCATCGTTATACCGTTCCAAGGCTTTATGGTGTCGATCGGTGGCAATAGGGAAACATTTAAGGTGCTCCCTCGAAGACATGATCGATAGTTGGAGAGTGTTGGATTGGAGTCGATTGCGCCGCCGGATCGAGAGAAAATTCGCGACAGGAAAAACGCACTGATGCACCACGCTGCGGAAGGACGTCGCACCTTGAATGTACAGTATTTATTCTTAATGAAATGCACAGAAAACAAATAGACTATGCCGCTGAACGCAAACTTAAAAATCAAGTCCCAGAAGGTATCGAAGCTAACCCAAAACACCGTGCACCATGTACAGTCATCACAGTGAGGTACTAGTCCTCTCTTTCCTCTAGCTACTTCGGATAAACGTGCTCTCCACTAACAGGCGTCAAGCGCTACAATGTCATGAACATGGCAACGACAAGCGCTACAACGAAGCTAATGGTCGCGCTGCCCTGAAGCTTACCACCTGCACCATGTATGCCGAGAAGCTCCGCCTGTCGTTTGAAGGTGACGTTCTGCGGAATAGACTCGTTCAGACACTGTCCGTTGGCGATGTCCAAACCAGCCAGGTCATTCGGCTCGCGGAAGAACATGTAGCTCTTGTTGTTCAAGCCCTTAAAACCCTCAGTGTTGTACGGGAACCACATTTCGCTATCCGTAGCCGATGTGTTGCGGAGGAAGATACACTGGACCTGTTGAGGATAGTCGTGCGCGAGCTGCGGGTAGTCCTTCATGACATCGCTGTTGGAAGTGTCGGCGACTAGGACGAACTTTCTTTTCGGAAAGGTCTCGAAGACCTTGGTGAGGAGGAATTTGCGGATCGTCAGTGTTGCGGAGCCATCGGAGAAATTAAGGGGTCGGGTGTCAAAAGAACCGCCGGGGTAGGTCTTGTAGATGAAGTCCATGTAGAGACGTGTCGCTTGCTCGGGAGTCGTAGTCAGGTAGTGGAAATGCGTGTTGTTGGGAAGCGTGCGCGACCAGTTGGCGTAGATGTCGGGCATATTCAACCATGGGGTGAAGGGACGAGCAAAAGAGTTCAGTAGGCCTTCTTTAGGATTGTAGATCTTGGTGACGCGCAAGATGTCGTCGATGTCGGAGATGAAGGTGATGCCTTCGGTAGGGACAAGAAAGGCAGTAGCATTGCCACTCAAGGTACCATTCGTGTAGACATTCAGTCGCTGGACGTTGTTGGTCTCGTTGCCGGCTAATAGTCCATTTTGTTTAATAGGTAAGAATACGTCGAAGTCGCCTTCAGCCGTCGTCTCGTATGGGAGCGTCAAGTTCTGCGTGCCGCCAGGAGCTGTAATGGCGTTACCGCCGCCCGGCTCTCCATCGCCGCCTTGGCTGGGCGCGGGCTCAAGTGACATGGAGACATTCTTCTTGCCCTGCTGGACGATGTAGATGGATCGCGTCAGGTTGCGTGCCTGGGCCTGCTGGTCAGGAGGTAGTTTGTCAACACTTGTGTCGATGAGAAAGACGTTGGCGAGATCATCGACCTTGGACTGTTTGATGTCCGGGAACTTGTAGACGTTGCCGTGAAAGCGCACGTTCCAGCCCTGGTCGGTCCAATTCGCATATGGGGGCACGTTGAGGACTTCGGTGGGCTTCGCAGCCAGATCGTCACCGATGCCGAGCTTGGAGAGTACCTGCGTGCCGGTGGGAAGGCCATCGAACCACCCCGGGATGCCTAGAGATGACCTGTCAGCACAAGCTTCGCCCAGAGAAAGCTTTGTCGCATTAGCAATGGGGAGGGTACCCACCGTCTGTAAAAAAGCTGGGGAGATCTGTTCCAAGCACGCTTGCCCACGAATGCGCAACGCCGTCTACGCCGCTCTTGATCTGGTTCAAGAGGTCTCGTTGTTGCACATAGCTGTGGCGGCCGTCGAACCGGATTGCAGCGGGAGTGACAATGGGGGCGCCGACTTGGACTTTGGATGGCGCCGCCGTAGCCTCTGGCAATGCAACGGCATTGGCAAGACCCAGTGTCGCACTGAGGAGCAATGCGCACTGCGAGCGATGCGAGACCATGTCTGCGGCGTGGTGGTCCTGGTTGAAGGAAAGGGGGTGGCCGACGCGTGCCTGTCGCGACGAGAAGCTGCTCACTTGTAGCCGAAGCGAAAGACTGAAGGAAAGATACACAGACACAGACTACACAAATACAGATACAGGGGCCCAAGAAAGGAGGAAGAGGGAGGAAGAAGAGAGGACAGCCGCCTGTTTCGTGATGGGCAACCCCAGCAGGTTTCGCGAAATTGGTGGTGTTGGTGCTGCAGGAACACACTAAACACGGCCAATGATGTCACCAGCTCCATCGCGCCTGCCTGCCCAGCAACCCGGCCAAATTAAGAGTCCTCTAGCCTGAAGAAGCTACGATCAAAACATGGCCACCTAGGTCCACTCTTTATACTTTATAGTACTCTGATCTTGGAAAGCAAGAGGCTGGAAGTGGCATCCTACCACACTCATTGGCGACGAGAATGCATCTCCGTATTCATACGGATCCTAACGATCGTGTCCGCAAAGGATTAGATATGTCACGTTCCCAAATCAACCACGGCAGAACCAAACACATAGTACTATATAGAGACGCCGGGTCTCTCACAGTAACCTCTTGCCATATGGTTTCACCTCGCTCATTACAGATGAGGGGATGTTCATCACCGGCAAGATAACAAGTCGCCTGGTTGGAGCAGCTCCGAACTCCAACGGTTAACAAGCCTTCAGCGTCATCAAGGGAGACTACATGCAGCATACATACCGCAAGTTTGATCTCCCCAGCCCCGCATTCCGTGTAGCACTTTATAAAATGCCGGCATTCCTTTGCAAAGCCTCTTATCCAGCGGTCAACGCACCTTAATCGTACAAAATTCTCAACAGCTCTCATCCAGTTCCTGCTTAACATACCGATCGTACTCTCACTTACCCTCAACACCATCGAACATGTCCGTCGCTGTCCAGCAAGTGTCTCATCTAGACCATTTAGATGACCAGATCGTCGCCCTAGCTCTACAGCTAGAGGAGATCAACTTCCGTGAAGAAACTAACAAGGCGAAGTATCCTGTTGACGAAGTACCGGATCTCGAGGTTGCGTACGCCAATTATCTTGCCGAGATCGAAGTTCACCTAGCATTCTTGAAGGATGTCAAATTTGCTCATAGCATTGCCAATGCTGTTGATGCGGATGCTCAGGCCATTGCAGACATCACGCAAACCGAAGCCCAGGCTCATGAAGATCGTCGTGTGGCGGTCCAGATGAGTAGTGATGACCCTGAGCTCGAGGCACCTCCTGCATATACCGAGGAAGTGCGTAATGAATTCCTTGAAGGCGAGGTCGTGCGTCGCTTTGCTGCACTTCTCACTTCCGACGACGATCTTTACGAAAGTCCAGAGAGTGTAGCTGGACCGTCTGTTCCCTACGCTCAGCGTCAGGCGGATGCCCTGGGAATATTAGCCCGCCCAACATTTGAATGTACGGCTTGTTCGAATGATTTTCGGTTGACCGATATCAGGCAACTCAAGTGTGAGCACCAGTACTGCGACCCTTGCCTCAAGCGATTCATCATGCGCGGCGTGGTGAATCACAACCTTGCGTATATACCACCTCGGTGCTGTGGCGATGCCATCTCTCCTGCTCTTATTATTAGCAGCCTGGCCAGCGAAGAAATGGAAGACTTTCAAAACGCCGAGATCGAGAAGAGAACTCGAGACAAGAAATACTGCAGCAACTCCAAGTGCGGCAGGTTTATTGCTCCTATCCATATCGTGGCTGGAGAAGCGACTTGTCCCCGTTGCAAAGCCAAAACTTGCGCTACGTGCACGAACCCAAGTCATGAGGATGACTGTCCAGCCGCCTCAGAACTTCAGGCTACCTTGGAGCTTGGGGCGGAGAAGCAGTGGTGCCGCTGCTTCTCCTGTCGCTCCTTAGTTGCCATTGATACAGGTTGCAATCACATGACGTGAGTTCTAATCTCAAAATCCCTTTTTCTAAACGTCGCCACGGTTTGTGACCGATATATGCGTGCTCCAAGACTTCTCCGCCAAAACCCATCATTCGAAGTCTAGATCTTCAAGTAAATATGCAGTGACTCTGCTTGTGGCATTGAAACGTACCATATTCGCGGGCTATTTCATGTCTCGAAATATCGGCTGACATTACGTAGGTGCCTATGCGGCGCAGAATTTTGCTACCTCTGCGGTATTGAATGGACCAACCCTGGTCAGTGCAACTGCACCTTTTGGAATGAGGAAAATCTCATTAGGCGTGCCCGGCAAGTTGTCGACAGAGCAGCACCTCAATATCTCCCTCCCGCTGAACGTCAGCGCCGTGTTGCCGAAGTTCAGGAGCAGCTTCGCGACACCGATGACTGCGAGCACCGTGGCCGTAGGAAGTTTGAGCGCATCATTGGGGGAAGGCGTACCAGGTTTCAGTGCGAGATGTGCAATGAGGTGCACAGGAATTTTATCCTCAGGTGCCGTCGTTGCCAATTGGATGTGTGCATGGATTGTCGCTTGCACCGTGTCTGACAAATATTCTCAGTCTAAGATTTTTCTCACCTCTCAAAAGTTAAAGTTACTGCTTGGTGTTTTAGGGAGAAGTCACTCGCTAAGGTTTATATACGAACACTGTCGATTTTATAGTATTCAACATATTGGTGATGTATCAAAGAGCAAAATATACCTATCTTATCTCTAACCTTATACCTTCAGCAAAACATCCATCATTGTTAGTTATCGACATGTATTAGGTGGCGCCACGTTCCAACCCTAGAACATCCCAGGAGCAAAAAAGAAGATATGAAAAGGCTCTACACCCTAGGAATACCTGTTGCTAATACTGTAGAGGCAACTCGAGTGCGGAGACATCTGTGATGACTTTGAATTTGCCGGGATAGGTCGAGCCAAACCATGGTATCAAATCTCGTCATCTTTTTCCTAACTGGTATAATATCCTGGTACCGAACCAAAAGCTCGCACAAATGGTTCTTTCGACACCTACAAAAGCCTTCTCTGGCGACAACCTTTCTAATCCTCTTCATTCACACACCATCAAGTTATTCATTTCCCAACACACGAAGATAATGATTCTCAACTTAGGGCCACTAGGTCGCTTCGAAATTGGAGGACTAGACCCGAACTCAACAAGCATTCCACCGACGCACAACGACCCGCCTCCACCATACCCGGGATCTGAACTCACAGGCCTACCGACATCGACAGAGGAGCGCTACGTTGGCCCGCCAGACACCAGGAAACCTGACTCTCCCAAGGAACAGTTACGTCGCTGTCTAATTGAGATCGTAGCCATCTCCGTGAACGCAAATTTCGATGAGCTGAACTCGGCGCTCTATGATAAAGTCACCACCAGCCATACCACATCCATCCTGTGTGATGAGGAACGCGAGTACCTTCTCCACCTATCGCAGCTAGTCCAGAAGTTGCACGAAAAAGCCCGTCGAAACCAGGTGAACACCATGCTACGTGCCGACAAAATGGAAGTGTACAAAGCCATCTACGAACCTATTAGACTATTAGATACAAGCCTCGAAGCGCATGCCTTAGACCTAGTGGCCTCCTATACAGATATCGCGCGCCATCCGGATGCAGAATCAGCGCGGCAACATAGCACCCTCCTTGCGCACTGGGCGCAGAATCCTAACAAATGGCGTACGAGAAATGAGAACTTGGAGAAGTCACTCAGCTCGCATGCGACCACAATCGAGGCTATATCTCCTAGCGAGGCTGTGCAGCATATCCTCGGTAGGGCATTGGAAAGGTATCAGCAGGGGTGTGGGCTGGAGTTTGTCGAGTATCGGGATATATGTTTTCCGATTAGAGATGGGGTTGAGCAGCTGGATAGGGCCATTTGGAAGTGCCAGCGGATGTGAGCTTGGTAGTTCAAGGATTGAAGGGTACGAAGTAACCTAGATTGATCTATCCACGGTCGCTTAGAATGGAAAACAAATGACTACGTTTTGTTCTCCCGGGAAAGTTCAGGTTTTTCATGGTACTCGGCGGCTCTGCTTCTTATTGCTTTGGTAGATTGGAACTCTGTGTAATGTAGTCAAAGCCATATTACGTGGTTGAATCAAGACATTGTCGGTCTCCACTATGAGATGCCGTCTTTAAGAGAAGCATTAGAAGAAGAAAAAAATTAAATGATGCCTAACACATTACTATAATTTGCAATGCTCTTACCGCTTCCCTAGGTGCGCCTCATATCTACTGAGCATTAGAAGATGAAGATCTTCAAAACTTGCTAAGTACCTTATTCGCATACTTATTTCAATGCAGAATCGATCATAGAGAAAATGAAATTGCGAAAGGGCTTGCGATCACGCGATGCTAGGAAACTTGCGTGTGGCCACATGTATAAGCCAAGCGACATTGATATCCGGGTAATTGGGCCACGTATAAATAAAGCATAAGTGGCCTTACTCACCTACAGACCTCGTCCCATATCTACGCTCCTCTCATTATTGCCATCTCACCCTCACCCAACCGCAACCATGCTCCTGCGTGGCCTGCTTTTCTGCATTGCTCTGATGGCGCCCTGCGTGCGTACTTCGTACGTGAGCAACGTCGGCCGCCAAGCTGGTTGTGAACAGTATGGCAATTACCCTCCTTATACTGGATCTTGCGAAGCCACCAGTGAGCTGCTTTATTTATAATCACCCGAACGTGACTAATCGCTGACAGACTGTGGAGCTGGACGGATAAACTGTTTGAAACAGGTGCCCAAGATGACTGGCTGTGTAGGATATCCAGCTTTAGGTGAGCAAATCTCGCGTGAAAATGAGGTCAAGGCTGATCTACTCGGTAGGTTGCCCATATATGGGTTGCTCATGTACGAACTACTGAGGATACTTCACACCTTAGAGGCTTGTGGGGGTGACTGGAATGTTGTCTTTTATACAGATTGTGTATGAAAATACAAGATATTGAAGTTAGGTCTGCGATAGTGCAATTTGCCGCGATTTTGGTCTCAGGGAGAGCCGGAACGAATGGGATGCAGCTTCGACATTACGTCACCAACAGGTACTTCGAATGTCTAAAGTTTGGTTGGTGCTGTCCCCAACGTTCCCATTTGAAGCCAGGTTGCTAGCCAACGTTACAGAAGAGAGAGTTTCCAAAGCGCCTACGCCCTAAGCTAACTATCGCATCACCAATTCTGTGAAGGTACATCTAATAGCGACAGGTTGAAACTTATTCCAGTATAATGTCTAGGTAAGATCATGTAAAGTTCCGCTTATGTGGTTAAGCCTATCGTTAAGATGGGCTTGGAAATAAGCCACACATCCAGACTGGAGTCAATATCATCTAACCTGGTAGCGAACCGCACATGGGTCGCAATGGCTACATATTTCCTTTTAAAAGGGTTGCCTTGTCCCCTATTTTGACAGATACCCGCCTTGCTACAACAAAACTTTTCACTTTATATGAAAAGTCTCTCTTCTTTTCTGATACCACCAGCATGTCAATCTTCGCCTTAGGACCGCTGGGTTGCTTTGAACTCAAATGAAGAGACGATTCATCTTCAACGTTACTGCCGACGACTGCGGACAAGCCATCGCCTAGGTCTCGCATGCTTTCACCACCACCTTACCCCACGGATCCTGATATGTCTCCATCGACAGCTGCAGATTTTCAAAAACCCAGGATACTTTAGAAGAGTGATCAGCCCACTTTCTAGACCTATGTGGACCACCTCAAACCCAGAAGACGACAAGCAGAAAAGAGCCGCTCCGTTGCTACATCATTGAAGTCATTGCAATGACATTCAACGCCAAATTTGATGAGTGAACGCTGCTCTGTACGGAACCTAGAGAACGACGCCCATGAACTCTATTCTTTCACATGGAGAACGCGAAGATCTCATCGCACTAGCCCGTCTGGTGCGGAAAGTTCATGGCCAGATAACGTCTGGCCAGGTCAGCACTGTAAATCAAGAAGAGGAGCAAGAGCTTCACGTGCCACAATCGCGCCAGGTGACTTGTTCCATGTATATGGAACAAGTCTGTTGGTTGCACGATACGCAGACATTTCGTTTATGGTGACTTAATTGTAATGACCTAGCAGATTCGTAGTATTTTCGATAATCGTGGTTGAATATATATCTAATACGTAGGCGTAAATGCTTGTCAAAATCGTTATCGGCGTTCTGCTGTGGGGTTGGACAACTCATTACCATTTGTCTCAGCATGACCCCAGAATTTTTAAATCAAGTAAAGTAGACATAAGCTACGACATGAGCTCTCTTCACAGCAAACTGTGAATGCTTTCGTGACACTAAAACCATCCCTCGTAACAACACACTCATATACGCCTGGATACCATCCGGACACTGAAGCAGTCACGTTCTCCTTCCACGTGTCTGACATAGACCGGGCGGTGTCCTAGGGCCACGCCTCATACGAAGAATCGAAGTGTAACTTTCTTGCTGATACTGCCTGACACGTAGTATGTCAACCCATCCGGAACTATGGGGACTTTGTCGTATCACTGCTAACTCTTCATCTGCGTTTGATTACTAATGGTTACGCACGAAGACCTTGAGAGCATACCATGTGGGATTGCGTTTAGCCACCTGAAGCTTTGGAAGATCGACCTCCTTTGGTGCTTGCAGATCAGGCCTATGCTGGAGAGCATGAGCATTATGAACATAGTTGCTAGAGCGAAGATGGCTTCTTTTGACCAAGACGGACTAGTATTAGAGGCGGGGAGTATATTCGTGCCTGAAAAGGTCAGCATGCAAGTTCCAAGTCGTCATCGACAAGAAGGACATTTGATCTTAGAACGGGCGGTATGAACATATCTTTCAAACATGGAGAAAGTGAACTGAACTTCATCCCCTCCCGACACTGGTGAACGTACCATTTGAAGCCATGGTAAAAAGATATGGTATGTATCCACTTTCACGGCTAACAATTAGGGCAGGCGGTTGCGACTATACTGAGTTTTCCGAACTTATGAGGTGTGTTCGATCAAGAGCTTTGGCAAGGTAGGCTGAAGTAGCAATCGAAGGTAGATATTGCGGAATCAGTCGAATTAACAGTTGGGGTCTTGTCAGCGTGCATGTTCCATACCGGTACATGGTCTGTGCATATTTCGTGCAACGTTTGTATATGGTCCGTGCATGGTCTGTGCATATTTCGTGCAACGTTTGTATATGGTCCGTGCATGGTGATTATTGGCGTTAGCATTAAGGCAGGTGCTGCTGCGCGGCTGACTCAAACTACTATCTACCTGGCTCGAGCCAGTTAAAACCAGACCGGTTTCAGCAACCTGTAGGCTTAGCTGGATCGTGTGTTGCATGTGTAACGCAACCACCTGGCGTGGCAGCGGTCAAACAAACCTGCACTATCCGACGCCACTGAGCACGCCGCAGCGCAGATAGTTTGCCTAACGCACCATGCCATAGGTACCCTATCATTCAAATAAGCCAATAGGAAGAAAAATGGCATCTGTGAAGAACGACATTTTCCAAAAGGACGAGGCTTGCAACACGAAAAGTGAGAAGCAAGACAATTTTATACTCATCGATTTCCTACCTAAACTACTCAAATCCATTCTCATCCTCATACTCAAATCCCTACCCTTCTCCCCATCCCCTACTCAAACCCACGTGCCCAGCACTTCAACCTTTCTCAGAAGGAAGAATGTACCACGCAGGCCAGGCGGGAAAACATAAAGATCCCACGCCATACCATATACCACGCCCCAGCCTAATCCGAAACCTTCCCAGCGGACAGGTAACAACCAAAACACACACACAAGGGGTTGGTGCAAAAAAAATTGCAAAATATCTTCAAGACATTATCGACTCTTTATAAAGGGGGCCACATGCTGGCCCGCGCCCGCTGCCATACCTCGACACTATAGTGCAGGAGGATATGGGGGAAGAGGTGGACGCGGGCGTTTTGGGTATAAACATTTGAAAGCAAAAAAAGGGGTGGGTTGTAGTGCTACTCTGGAGTTCCCTTTACATTTAGGGAAACAAGATGTGACGCAGCACTGCTGATGCGAAAGGTAAAACGCAAAAATGGGGGAAGTATTGCCACAGGTCGCAGGGGGGAAATAATCCAAAACACAAAGGAAAGGAGATGTGAACACGCTTGAACGTTTCCTCATTAGACACTTAGGTCAAGCTCACATGGCCATGCCAGGGACCGGTTTCCGCGGGGGCATGGGGCCAGCGCTGGGATTCATAGGACTTGGTCCTGGCGCAGGTCCACGTCGTGGGTTACCAGCCTGGCTTGCGGAGTTGGATCGCGGACGACCCATCTGCGGGGGAGGAGCCATTTGAGGGCCACCTCCATACGGCCCGGGGGACATGGAGCGCTGCGGTTGAGCATACGGTGCGTTGCTGTTCGATCGACCCCTAGGAGGGCCATACTGAGGAGCATTGCTGTTCGCCCGTCCACGAGGAGGGCCCTGCATCTGCCGAGGCGACATTTGGCGAGGTCCAGGGCTCATGGAGCGTTGACTTGGGGACATGGGACCGTTTGGAGATTGGGGACCAGGCGAGTTACGTCCACTGGCGGGTGAAAGCGGGCGAGGTTGAGGAATGCCACCGGGGCCCATGGGTGAGCGGATAGGAGGACCGCGCATACCTGGAGGCGGTGGGCCTTGACGGGGTGGGCCAGTACGGGGCTTGACGGGATGCTTGGAGAGACATGTTCGGGGAACAACACCTTGTTGTGAGCGGTCCATGCGAATGCAGAGAGCCTATCGTTGTTAGCAGAGAGTCAATGACATATACGCGAGAGGACTTACCCATCCATCATCGTATTCGTGGAGCATCCTGACTAGTTGACCAGCTTGAAGATCAAGTTCATCTTGCATGGAGGCCTTGAAGTCGAGTTGGATACGGTGGACATTGTCAGGACCAGGAGCCGGGCTATTAGAACGGCCGCCACCCATGACGCCAGCAACTGGAGGAGGGCCGGTAGGAGCTGGACCAGGAGAAGCAGGGAAGTCTTCGGTCCAAGCAGGGCTTGGTGGAACTGCGGCAGTGTTGATAGCCATTGCAGGCGGAGGAGGAAATTCGTTCGTTGCAGGAGACATAGACGACATTGCTCCAGCCATTGCGACGGGATCAATCTCAGCAGCAGGAACAGCCGGAACAGGTTTGGCAAAATCATTGCTTGGCTGCGTGGAGTGCATGGGAGAAGCGTTGGGAGGTGAATCTGGAATAGCCGCTTGGTGAACATCGAGTGCGGAGTTGTTTCCGAAGGGGTTGGCAGCAAGAGGGTTGGGACGGTTCTCGGGGTCGTTGAAAGGATTAGCAGTAGGAGTGCTCGGGGCTCCAGGTCGCTCCCAGGCACTCTTGGGGCGGTCAGACTGCTCACGGTTGTGAGCAGCGGCAGCGCCTCCAGCAGCAGCAACATTGAGCAAGTTTCCTCCACTCTTGCGTTGCTCGTTGAAAGCAGGGTCGAACTGAGTAACCGGGCGCAAGCTGAGACGGGGTGCGGTTGACATGGTTCGGTTCGTACGAATGCTGGGAGCAGGACCAGCAGGAGCCAGGACCTGGGGAGGCGGTGGTGGCGGCGCATTGTTCAAGTCGATCTTCTCATTCTGCGTGTTATCGACCATCTGCTTCTTCTTGCGGCGATAGACGAGCAAGATGCCGACGAGGAGAGCGCCGAGCACGGCCAGAATACCGAAAGCGAGACCAGCCTTCGCGCCTCCAGACATGCCACCGGCTGCGGGTTCAGCAGAGGCCGAGGCTGATGCCGAAATTGCGGCCGTAGCAGATGCAATTCCCGCTGCTGCTGAGCCAGCGCCTGGCGTTGGGGCTTTGGTCGCGACCATGAGGGTGGACGCTTGCTTGAGCGAAGTCGCCGCGGTCTTCTGAGCATCTGATGCATGGGCAGAGGACGGGTTCCTTGAAGTCGCGGACGGTTTTTTCTGCTCTTCCTGGGTAGATGGCTTTTTCTGCTCTGCCTGGGTAGACTGCTTCTTTTCCTCTTCCTGGGTAGTCGGCCTTCTTGTCTCTTCCTGCTGCTCTTCTTCTGTGGAAGTGGGGCGTGGTCGGACGGCAGGTGCAATGAGGGTTTTCGGTTGTTGGGTGACCCATACAACCCTTCCAGTATCCGTGTTCGGTGCAGAGACAAACTCGACAGAGATGACCGTGGTCGCGAATTCACTGTCGTCCTCGTCCTGGTCGCGGAAGCGTTGTCGTCGCACAAGGTGCGATTGGGCGTGGTTGTGCGCCATGTTGTGTACTGTGGCGCGCAGGCGGTCGGCAACTGGTAGATTGGGTGTCGCGATGGTTGGTGGGCGAAGATTGGGTCGTAGTTTGTTGTTGTTGACTCTGTTTCCAACTCACGTTCACCGTCTCTTTCAGTGCGATTGTTTCGGTTGTTGCGCAATTACGTATTGTGCGCAAACCAGGATGGTCGGTTATTTACAGCCGTGGCTCAAGGGAGGCGGGCTTGCTGCAAGGAATGTGAAGGCGGCGGGCTGGCGTCCGATTTGCGCGACAGCGGTGGAATGCAGTGTATATGGGGGGTGGGTGAACTAGGCACTAGACAGAAAGGAGTGTACTATTTGGTGGTAAGGAGTGAATGCGACAGGTCGCGCTCGATGAACGAAGGGCGAACGACAGCCTGGTCGCAGGACAAGAGGTCGTAAAGCAACGTGAATTAGGTAGGGTGGAGGGTGAAGGTGAGGAGAGGGAGCGGCAGGCGTGGGACGAGGGCCGGCCGGCTGATGGGCTACACCAACACACGACCAGGAAACACGGCAGAGCAACCAGCGTTCGAAACATTCGCGCCAAAGTTGAACCGTGCTGCCGTGCATCGTTCCGTTATTGGTCCTAGCCGCTCCTTTAGACCCAGGTACCAATCTACTCTGATTGGACGTATCCTTTAATTTCCTGGGGGCCCGCTGACGCTCGTGCTATTTCTGCCCTCAGCCTCGCGTTGGTGCGCAAATGGCGGTGCAGGACCCCTTTATCAGCACTTATCAGCGCCTTTGACATGGGGAGAGATTCGAAGCTCATCATCTCGAAGCCGTCGAAGACGTGGCCCGAGCAAGACCTTCTTCGAGAATCCATCGAGTGGCTGACATCAGTGCATTGCTACGCCACTGCATTCCAGACGCACCGATGGCTGATCGAATGTTGCTTGATCACGGGCAGCGCAAACAACTATCTGACGTAGGTATAGAGAAGATCTTCGGATACCCCGGTTCGCCCGGTAATTGCTTGCAGCTGATCCCGGTTGCTGGCGGCTGTTCGATCTGCTCTCCTCAGCCGGGTGCTTTGACTCGCAATTTCGGAGATCAATCAGCGTTATTAACGATACGTCGGATACGACCAGCGTGGCAAAGCAGCCAGCATGTCATCGAAGGATCGCTCTCTATAATTAAACAGAGTCAGTCGTTTCACTGATGGATGTAGACAACCGTATACATACTTTGCGAGTTACGGACGGTAGGATCCCATGTCTCATCATGTGACAGATGGTCAGGATCCAAGTTCGAAACGTGAACATTCACACTGTAGAGAGTAATAACTGGTCAAAAAATTCTCGGTTCAATGCTCAACTGCACAAACATAAAGCGATTCTGCATGCAATTGATCAGCTCGCTTAGCAACAGCCGTACACCCTTGCGTGTGGTCGTCTCCACACAAAGTTGATCACCATCCAGCACCCTGCAAAAATCACACCGCACTTTCGGGCCATCGAGGCAGCAAAAAGAGATGCCCTCTGCCAGAATCGAACTAGCGATCTTATCATAGCATCCAATACTAGTGATACGCTTTACCACTAAGCCAAGAGGGCTGCCGGCGGTTAAACCGAGAGATGTCCAGTTGTAAGACTGGTTGGCTGATTTGGATGGGAGTTTGGAGAATTGTTAGCATTATATCTGTGGATAGCTTCTGGTAAGCTTGTCCAGTGGGCGAAAAGCGCCCAAGATTCGATGGTGTGGGTCGTGTAAAGATTATTTCCCCGCATGCCACTGGTGCAGGAGAATTTTCGTCTCATGTGGGACCGGATCGACCAATCCCCTATTTGGCTCTACCACAACCCTCTTATCTCATCATTGGCTTGCAGTGAGGAGATGGGACGATAGTCACTTTAGCTAATGTCGTGGCACGCCTCAAATATCCCATACTGACGCAGGAATTCCTCGATGAGTTTCATTTCAGACGTTTCACATGTGATTGGAGCACCTCGGTAGCAGCATGGATAGCATTCTCCTCGGCTACCCAAACTTTCGCAGTCAGTAGATATGAAGTGGCACAACAAAGCCCGTTATCACCGACAAGCTTGAGTTTATTTTGCCATTGAAGTACAAATGAACACTCCACAGTCGTGCAAGGTAGACAGGTTCTTGATCTAGACATCATCAAATGCAGACTACGACCAAGGCATCAACACCCATCTCCAGCTATTCCTCACGCCAATTCGTTAGAACTGACGCACGGTTGACTAACAGGGGCGACCCGTAAAGGAAGAAGGCATGGAGAATCATCAATCAGTTAACGCAAGGCTGTTCTAGCATACCTACTTGTCTACTCACTCCATGCAGTAGCAGAAAATCGTATCACCAAGTTAAATCCTGTGCGAAGATCCAGTGTCGCTTGGGTATCACTCGAACGCCACAAGCCTACTCAGCCCTGTCACAATACACTCCAGTTTCTCCTAAAACGTAAGCCATGCCGAGGTGCCACTTCTAGTAGTGCGGTCTCGCGCAAATATCCTACACTATGCAATCCTTCCTGATGGGCAAATTCGACAGTGAGCCTAACTTGTGTATGTCGAGAGTTGCCAATCCATCGCCTTCCGTTGGCTTGACCGGCTGGTCCTCATCTCCTGTCCATACTCTCTCAGATTACGGCGATGTACACGTACAGCCAGAGGTGTAGTTTCTCCCACTACGTGCCTATCGCGTTGTATTGCTCTCGTACAGGACTCGGGGCTTCGACATACACCGCATTTCAGAGGCGCAGGGTAGCGGGTTGCCTGTCTCTCGAAGAAGCTCTTCGTACCATAAGGCGCGTTCGGTCGGAATGCTCATGAGGCTGGAGGGTGCCGTAGGGGATGCGCAGGGCGGATAAGGACGAAATGGCATGCGTGCAGCATTTGAGGCGACATCTTCGTATAAGAGATACTAGGTTGGCTACTGGGGTGGTAGACGGACGAGAGCTTCAGGGCGACATCAATTGTGCTGTGTTGTGGAATGCGCGGAGGAGAAGGAAATCTGGGCCACTAGGGAAAGTCTAGCCGAAGTAGAGCCCGTGCCCAGTCACCGCCAGAACCACCCTCTCCGTCTGATCCTACATGCTGACCATCAAGCGGCGGGAAAAAGGTATCATTATTAGAATCGCATACACGAATCAGCCGAGACTCGTCAAAGGCTGCCGCTGTGTCTGCCGCAATTGATGGCCAGCGCAACACCCATCCAGAACAGGCCGTACCGTTCGCATAAAGTACCCGCCTGCACAAGATGCCGATCGCGAAAGATCCGCTGTCATATCGACATCCCAGGAGAACCATGTCTGTCGTGTCGCGAGAGGCGTCTGAAGTGCCAGTATGTCGAAAGCTCCACGACAAGCTCTCCGACAGACGAGGGCGGAGATCGTCGACCATCGAAGCGGCGACGGCATAGCGAACCGGAGGAGGGCCCAGCGCGACCTCGTTCGGCACCAATCCTGCATAAGGCTACCAACAATCCTTCTGCTTCTATCATGCTGGCACCGCATCTGGCCGAGGATGTGGACATCTTCAATCGCCACATCTCCCAGCACCGCAAGGTCGGCAGCGAGGCCGAACCTTCCAATTATCAAACGCTCCTGCACGACACCAAGGATCCAGTCGTCTACCTTACTGTGCCGAGGTTTCGCACCGGTCTGCCTCCTAATAGTGGCTGTGGAAGGGAGCAGCTCGAGATCGTTGAGCAGGTCATGGGGCCGTTTAAGCGCGAAGTGGTGGAGCTCTACTTCAAGCACGTTCATTATCATTTCCCTGTCCTGGATGACGAGACCTGCGAGACGCTACGCAGTGGTCAGCTTTCAAAAATATCTAATAGCCTGATGTGCGTCCTGTATGCCATCGGCTCACCACTATGGCCCAGGTCAGAGACCCTCAAGATGCATCCTAGACCAGACTCTCACTATGTCTGGAACAAAGGCATATCCGCCACACTGGAGGACTTTTTGAGCCCTGGGATGCCGACTATTCAGGCAGCCGTGCTCGATCAAGTCGGACGCCCTTCAGTCTCCATCATCGGCAATATCACGCTGTGCGGGCGGACAGTTTCATTAGCCCAGACGTTTGGGCTCCATAGAGACCCCTCAAAATGGAACATCACGGAAAATGAAAAGTCTGTCCGGATACGGCTCTGGTGGTGTGTTCTAATCACCGATCACTGGTCCAGCGCAGCATACGGCGCGCCTCCACACATCTCACAAGGCTACTACGACGTGCCCAGGCCCACTGTCAGTTTCCTCATAAGCCCCAAAGCGACCCTGCAACAGAAGCAAGCAACAACCTGCTTCGTGCATCTCTGCGCCCTAACTGAGCTTCTTGGGGAGATCCTTCCTCTCGTCTACCAAATCGAACCAGACCGTCAGCAGCTTGCCCGAGAGATTGGGCGGTTCAAGGGCAAATTAAAAGATCTGGAAGCGCAACTACCAGAATGGCTCCCTCTTCCGAATCGCCCAGGGACACCCATGCTGTGGCTTTGTTTTCTTTCTATCCGCCTTGTGCTCGCCCGCGTCATATTTCGCTCAGCAGTGCTTGACGGCGACAGCAGCCTAGGCCGCGACCGCATGGATCAACTCCGCATCGCCTCCTCCGCCGTCCTCGACTTCATACTGACACTGGGCCAAATCCAATTCCAGGACTTCTGGCTACCCTACGCGACTCATCTACTCGTGCATGCCATCACAGTCTCCCTCCGCTGCACCGTGGAGACCCAAGACCCCGAGATACGCAACACGTCCGTGTCGCGCCTAGAGCGTGTCATCGCGCACATACAGTACGCTCACGACAATTACGACTGGGACCTTGCGCTCTACTGCTTGGAGCGGTGCGCGGACCCGGTGTCGAGAATCGCATCGCTCAATTCCAGAGAGCCTCCCCAGCCGTCTGAAACGGAGCTCACGAGCGTCGTTGCGAATGGAAACGGAGTCGATCTGCAATCGATACCCGCCCTGGATGATGCAACGTTTCTTTTGTCTGATATATTGGATCCGAACGCGTTCGACTTCTCCTGGGATGCGTTGTGGGATACACCGTCTGGCATGACAAACTTTTCGATTTGAAAGCTGCACGTCACAATGCACTGCGTTCAACACCATCCTTCCTTTGGAAGCTTTTACCATGTCCGAATACTCGATGTTGTGGTCGCTCGATCGGCCCTAAGCCACTGGATCTTCTACACGGCCCGATTCGCGTTCCACCGCTTCAAGCAGCAAGGTTCAAATCTGCTAGAGCAGCACGCTTTACCTAGTCTGAGCTAGGGAGCATCCTGCAACACACCTCACCTCACTGTCCCAGCGGAGCCGAAGCGTACGCGATTGCATATTCAATCTGCGTCTCGTTTCGCACAAGTGCCACGAAGCACGTCAGCTCTACACATGACAATGAACACCAGAATTGTCATGCCGACGAGATTAAGCGCGGCCAATCGAAGTGCTCAGTCCGATGTGCAGAAATATTGCAGTATACTTTGATATGTTGGTGTACATCTCGAAGGAGAGGATGAGCAAAACGAAGCTTTTATCTAAGGGTACCATCTCTATGTATCATGCTTCAAGATACACCCTTCGGCCTGTCTCTGTGAGAAATCTGCGTTTCAATCTCAATATTGTTAGTCTAGTTCAACGACGATGCAATCTGCCGATATCGCGTCTAGAATGTAATGTTAAGTAATGTAATATAACAAGCATGTGGTTTACTACTGATTGATTTCTCGTATCACGTGTATAGGCCGCTCTCGTCATTGTTGACTTTAGTTTAGAAAGAAAGTCATGTAATACAGTCCTCGAACGAAGTCATACAAATATTCACACTCGCCCGAATGCAAAATGAGCACAGAAAGAGGAAGTGAGAGAGAGAGAATGTGTGATATTTGCACCAAAATTTCGTTTCATTTTGTTTCGTTTCGTTTGCATGTAGGTAAGACAGACAACCGACCGACTAACCAGCGAAGACTTGAAAACCTATACGCAACTAAATCGAGCAACGTCAATGAGCGAAACATGCGTTACAATCCACCTCCCCCACTCGCTATCAACATACTGGCACATTTACAATCTCGCCAATCCAACAACCTCGCGCGGCGCGTTATAATTCGGCACCTTCATATCGAGCGCAGCACCCGAGTAGCCGAGGTCCTCGCCGGTCAAGACGGCGCACTTCTCGCCAATGAGGAGGGCAGTCGAGTACGTGTTGCAGCCCACGTTGTCGGGGCAGATGGACAGATCGGCGACCTTGAGGCCCTTGACGCCGTGCACGTTGAGGCGCTCGTCGAGCACGCCGTGCTTGACGATGCTGTTGCCCTCGCGTGGGGCCATGGAGCACGTGCCTAGGCTGTGCCAGGTGGTTTCGACGTGGCCTGTTGGAGGGTTAGTGAACGGAGTTGACTGAGAAGGTCGGAAGGGAGATGAGGGAGCGGGGGAATAGGTAAGTTGGGACGAGTCGAAGGCGTGGGAGGGGGATAATGAAACTTACGCTTGACCCAATCTTCAACATGCTGGATATCCTGCTTCGTATACTCGAGGTCCTCGAATACCTCCTGGCAATTTGAGTTCAGGAAGTTGGGCGCAGGCGCCTTGCCCTTCTTGACGGGACTCGTCCAACTGCCGTGCTGAATACCCGCGGTAAGATTGCCGGGCAGAGCATACGCATTCGTAGTAGCGAGATCCATGTCGTTCGCACGGGCGGGGCTGTCGAAAGCGTAGAAGGGATGCATAGCTTGCACCTCGCCAGCATAGGCCTCCATGCGGCGTGCCGTCTCACGGGACTTGATGTAGCCCCAGACCATGGGTGCCATGTCGCGCTTGTCGTTCATGAAGCCTGCGTCAAAGTCCGGTGCTTCGTACGGGTTTGGTGACACGATGTGTGTGGACCCACGCGAGAAGGGGTACTCGAGGAAGTGGAACATGGTGAAGAATTTGCCTGCTGGCATCACCATGTGGTCGCCGAACCAACCCGCGATGACGGAGTAATGCATGACGGGCTTGTCGGGCTTGTTCTTGAAGTAGCTATCCCAGCCGGTGCGGAACTCTGGCGTAGGCCATCTGTCCATGGCGGCGAGTTCCTCTTCCGTAGGTCGGATCTTGACGCCAGCTTCGATGCCATTGGTAGCGAGGGGCCCAGTACCATTGATGTTCCACTGGTTGAAGACAGCCTCCTGGACCTTGGGGTCGCCGCGGGCGAAGTCGTCGAAGGATTCGACGTGGGGCTTAGCGCGGTAGGTGGAGAAGGTAAGGCTACAAGGCTATTAGTTCCAGCACTCATAAATGCGATAGAGGAACTTACTAGTGGTCCTGGAAGTTGAGGCCGACACCAGGAAGGTCAACGAGGGGCTTGACACCAACCTTGCGGAGCTTCTCAGGGTCACCGATACCAGATCGCTGGAGAATGAGCGGTGAGCTCAAAGTACCACCAGAGACGATGATCTGCTTGCGCGCTTTGATGATCCTGTGTGTGTCCCTGCCAGCGAGAGGCTTGGTCGGAACGACCTTGACGCCGACGGCTCGGTCACCTTCAAGGATGACCTAGTATTTTGTTAGTCTTTCATTGCTTTTGAGACAATTACAGATCACTCACCTTCTCGACCTTATTGCTGGTCAACAAGTGCAGGTTTTGGTGAACCGCGCGCGTGCTATGAACGTAACCGTGCGCTGAATCAGATCGTCGACCAGTGTCCCTGTTGATCCACTTCAGCCAGTGCTCAGCACCATGGCCGGTGACAAGATCCTGGAGATCGTCGGTGGTCGGGATGCCTTGAGACTCGGTAGCACGCAGGAAGTCTTCCTTGATGGGATAGGTGTAGTTGCCAAATGAAACCTTGATGGGTCCTTCGAAACCGTGAATGTCGCGATTGTTGCAGGACCTTTGGTAGGTCTCATGCTTCTTCATCAGAGGAATGAGCTCCTGAGTCGTCCAACCCTTGGCCTGGAAGTCATCGTAGTCGGAGGCTGAAGCGCGAGTGTACATCTAGCCCCATTGTCAATATTGTCATATGCATTCAAAGAGTGCCTTCAGACTCACCATGAAGTTGATCGAAGACCCGCCTCCAAGAATGTGTGCGCAAGGCACAACAGCTCGTCGTCCATCAAGCCATTCGGAAGGGCGGGAGTAGTAGAAGGTGGCAGTCTTGCTGTCCAACTTCATGTTCCGCGGGTAGATGCCCGGACGGAAGACCCATGGGTTGTTCAAGTTGTTCTCCCCGCCCTCAATCAAGAGGACTTGGAGGTTGTGGTCCAAGTTGGCCAATCGTCCCGCGACTACGCATCCACATGATCCTCCACCAGCAACGATAATGTCAACCTGGCATGGTTAGTGTTTGCAGGATATGCTTCCAAGTCAATTGACGTACCTCGTCTGGTACCACCATGTTGAACTAATCCGGGTTGTATGCGATGCGACTGGTTCAGTAATTCAATGTTCAAAAAAACTAGCCACAGGAGAGCGAGTCAACTGGGCACATACTCTCCCTTGACAACAGCAAGCACCCCATTATTTAAATCGCAGGACCCCGCATCCCAAGATCTTCGGCTCCAAGGAAGACCATCACATGAGCTGTGTAACCACGCGTTCGATCAGCCGTTTGCGCCTGTCTCAGCATTGTGCATGCGAAGAAGAGGGGCCATGTACACATTGAGCTCGACCGATGCACGCTCCCCAGCCAAAGAAAGCTAGTCTCCAGTGCATACCCCGAACCTTGGTATCCCGTCAGATAGAGGCGCAGTCTACTCCACGAGGAACGTGGTGAGTGACGTGCGGATCCGCAAGTATGCCACGTCCAAGGACTGGGCTGCCTTCAGGGAATCGGGGTAGATACACGGCACTGGTTGGCCTGATTGATTGGTGAGAGCAATTATCCATCGAGATGGAATCGCATGAAGGGTCCAGCTAGGATTGACGCTGCGGGTCTCGTATACCCGCTGGTCAGGTGCGGAGAAGGACGTATACAGTAACAAGGCCTGCTATATTGCGTACCCAGGCCCACTCATTCTGCACAATAATTGCGGACCCGAAGCTGAGAGCAGGGGACAATAGCTCGACAAGCGCGGAGCTCAAGCTTCCCACATCCTTGCGAGGGTGAGAAAGGCACGACAGGCCAGTGAGCAGCTCCAACGCACCACACACGCCGAAGGATTCGTAGTGGGGAGCGATTGTGGGGACGACAGCTATATCTGGAAAACCGATCGAGGGGCCTGGTGAAACATGTCGTTGAACTGTCCCATTGATGAAAGCACTCAATGCTGTGCTCCCTCAGCTCGAGGAAGTGGCAGGGATAGTAGCTCTTCAAGCTCAACGTAGCTGCGGCAGAAGTTCTAGCTCCACGACTATCTGCGGGGGGGGGGGCGTGAGCGGTGACGTTCGGACCGTGATAAGCTGTCTCTCGCTCGTGGAAGAATCGGATGTGGGGTGCAGTAGCAACTGTGCCTCATTTGAGGGGAGGACTATACGCTTGGCGTGAACGCTAATATGCCAGTAAGTGCGGGGTTAGCTCTACCATCCGATCCTCCCGGTGGGCGGTAGTCCGGCTGGCCCTGAGCCGTCCAGCCTTAGAAACGCCATAGCGACCTTGGACTTTGTTAATCCTTTTGAAGAAATTCGAATCGAATCATGCCAGAAAAGGCAGCCCTGGAGTGTCTGTGAGGGATTAGTCGGAAATACCCCACCCTGTCCCCGGGGGCCTAGACGTAGATGGCGTCCGATCAGTGTTTGCGTGCACCAACACGGATAAAGTGAAGCGAGCAAGCGGTTTCGCAAATAAGGCCAGCCTTGGCCCCTACCTGGACGACGCGGGAATTAGGTTTGCTTGCGTGGGATCCTACCGCCAAAGGAGCGGAGCCTCAAACCTTACTGACCCATGATAGACACAACTTGTTATTGGAAAGGGCTATTGATAGTACAATGCAATACTGCAGTAACCTTGTATCAAGGCGAGACTCTGGTGGAGTCGGTGCTTTCTCGTTCAAATACATCTATGAAGGGCATGGGCGTCTGAAGGTACCTGCCCCTTCTCCCTCATGACACATACCGTCTAAACCTGGGGTATCGTCTGTCCGCGACTCGCAAATTCCCGATAACGCCGAAAAGACAATATTCGAAACAGCGGGGAAGAGAAGATCAGGTACATGCCATGCAACTCCAAGTGATTTTATTTCCAGGCTGGGGAAAAAGGAGCACGTCGATTGAGGCTCAGATGATCTCGTGACGCTCCCAACCGGTGGGCTTGGGGTACGCAAGATCCTTCGTCGGATGCGGTTTCTCCGGATCCCTGTATTCGCTTACGAAGGGATTCGGATCTTCTTTCTGGTCGAGGTTGCCAAACGTGTGATTGACTTCTCGGTGTTTGCTCTCGTCGGCGCGGACTGGGTTGGAAGTTAGCCGGACGAATCCCATGCATACTGATCTTCCGGACAAAAGGGTGTACATACTGTAGAGCAGAAGATCGCGCATCGTGCGATGGCCCTCGGGCATACTCCAATAATCGACCGCGATCTCAGGCGCTTGCAGCTTCTCCCACTTGGGCAGGCGGCCTGCATCGAGATCCTTGATTTGGCGCGTATAAGTCAAGACAGCTTCTTCCTCGAGGTACCCGACGAAGCGGTGGACGGTGCGGGGGCTGAGCAGGTAGGCGAAGAAGAGGGCGTTGCACCAGACTCCTTGGGCTCCGAGCTGGGTAGGTTAGCACACGCTGGAGGAAGTTGAAAGAGCATGGGAGACACTCACAACCATGAGACGCATAAATCGGCCTGGCTGCTGCATCTTTAGAAACACCAGAAGATGCATGCGCTCGTTGTAGCTCTCTTCCAAGAGTGATTCGATCCTGTGCGGGGATATCATCAGTACACGGTAAAACCTATCCAAAGACCAAGAAGCTTACCAGCCATTGTCTCGCTTCATTCGCCTCATCGAATGCAAGTGCCTGAGCATGCCCGCAACAATTCCTGGGACTCCAGCAACGCTTTCGAGGAACACGTTGCGGATCATGTACTTCTCCTCTGTCATGGCATACTTCCTGCGAGCTGCTTCCGGATCTTTGGCGTTCAGGTCCACAGCCCGTTCATGCTTGTACCCGGTAGCGAAATCGAGGCCCCATCGTAGGATCCTAACGGCAATGAGGGCGACCTTGTCGGATATGGTCTTTGCTTCGCGGTGGGCAACGACGACTTGTTGCATTTGCTCTTCGGTGTAAGCTAGCATGCGGTGAGTGACTGCTAGGGTTTATAGTTCTAGAGAGTGTGTACCTGGATGTGGCCATGCTGAAGGGGTCTTGTGGACCTTTTCTGTAGGTGTCTTCTCAAAGAACTCCTTGATCTTGGTGCTTTGCGGCGAGGAGGAGAAGTGACGTTGGCTAGCTGGGGCTAGGCGGATATGCTCCACGGCTACGAATGTCGGTCGAAGGCCAGCATTGTAGCTGTTGAAGGACTTGAGGAGCTGGGCCGTGGTTCGTTGTGAGGCCAGTGATCCCCGGGTTGCTGCTCTGGTGGAGATCATCTGTGGTGAGTGAGGTGTGTCTCTTCAAGTTGAGGGTAGGGCAAAGGTTGCTATGTAAGTTGTAGTGGTGAGCGCTGATGGTAAGCAAGCGGGTAGATGAGGCACACAAGGGCTTTTATATGATCAAGAGATATATATGGGTGAGACTAAGACTAAGAAAAACCGTCCACGAAAAATGCTGCTTCTTTCGCATGTACAGTCATCACAGGGTGAAGTAGGAATGCCACAGCCCGCTTACGAATGCCACTGCCGCTGTACGGCAGCGCCGGTGAACGTGTAAGAGTCATTATGAGAGGCCGACCACCGAGATGGACTGCCGATTTCGAGCGTATAACGTCTCGTGCAGGGACAAATCTGAGGATTCTGTCCAAGCGTCGTTGTTCAAGCTCCAGAATTCGCGATAATGCGCCGGAGCTGGTTTCTTGAGTATCTCCGGCCTGCGAACACAACTTGCAGCCAGCGCTCATGCCGACAGCTCGAGAGAAGACGAGGACATGCAGAATTAGGGCATCATGTATTAATGAGCGGTGTGAAGATAGCCAGGCGTACTTTGTCGCGCTTCTGTTGTGAAACCGAGTGTTGTTGGTGCTGCTTACAGTGCCGTGAAGCACAAGTCGCGGGTTCCGAAAGATCCTCGTCGGGGTCTCACATCGGGCACTCGCTCACTCGCCTCCGTAGGGGCTGACTGGCCTTGGCGCGTCTTCTTTGTGTCTGGTCGACATCCGTAATTGGAATATGGTTATTATTATTATTTTTTTACGAGTCCTGGATCAATCTAATCGTTTGGATGGTAACAATCAATTGCTTCGAATGCCAGCCTTGTCACAAGATTGTGCGAGTCGGTAGCATTTTTGCACGTCATACCAGGTGTATTGTTTCGAGAGAAAATGGAGAGAGAAAGTTGTATACGAACATGTCCATTGTCATTACGTGGCCTGTTGTACTTTTTTCTCTTTACTTCCGACACATCCGTTATTGCTATTCCAGCCGCCAATATGTCTACTGCACGTTGAACCCGCTCTCGCCAGACTTGGTCGAGATATCTGACTGCTCGACGCCGTTTACAGACGCTGCTGAGGGGCCCTTGTTCAAGTGCTGGACGAAGTCTTTGATCGCATCTTCGCCGCCCTGTGCTTCGCCCTGGACCTGGATAGTGTGAATGGAGAGGCGTATGAAGAATGAGGCTAAGACGTACGGTGCCATCTGAGACGTTGGTGACGAAGCCAGTGAGGCCAATATTCTTTGCTTGCTTTTGTGTGAAGGATCTGAAATTGACGCCTTGCACTTCTCCTTGGACCTTGAACGAGATCTAGGTCTATGTTAGCATTGTTATAATAGCCCCGGGCATGATGACGCACACGCTTGGTGGACATTTTGGCTGTGTTTGAGAAGAACCGCTGCATTCAAGGATGCCTTTGATTTGGCTGGTAACAAACTAACAAACCCCGGTGAACGTCTGGGGTCTTTTCACGTTTCAGGCTTCAACGATGGCATCTGGGCATCCACAGAGTTTTGCCCATGCCCGACGTCATCGCTACCACGGTGAAAGGTACCCGCTACTCTAGGAAGGCACCCCTGCGACCCTGAACCGCGGAATGCGGGGCTCAAAGGTATACGCGACTTTGTCACACACATGTGTTTTGCCTCTTGTATGGCTCAGGCGCACGTACGTGGTTTTTCAGCACTCTTCTTTATCGTCGACATGGACCAACTTGCTGTCCCGGTTCATGCCACCGTGCTGCGGTGAACAGTCATGTGGGTGTGTGCCAGCGATGATGACGCTAACCTCGCGTTGTTATGGAATAATCTCGCGTCTGAAACCCTAATCAAACCCCTTTCACCTTCCGCCGCAGCAACACCCGCACATGTCCCACGAGACTCCACAAACAACGGCCAATCTGATCTCCGACTGTTGCATCCATCGTAGATGCCTCTACTAGCCAACTCCCGCTATCGACTTTACCGCCTGTCGTCTGCCTTCACCCCTCACCGAAAGCCCCCCTTATCTGCCGCTATGGAAACGTTACCCTCCCCTCCCCTCGAGCGCGCCTCGTCGCCCGAACCCTGGGTGACGCCGTCGCTCGCACTGGGCGCAGTGCCGCAGCTCGATCGCTCCGTCTCGACAGCGTCGTCGGTGTCGTCCGTCTCGGGTCGATCGGCCAGCTCGAGGCTCTCCGATGGTGGCACAAGGCGAGGATACATGAGGCCAGAAGGGACGCAGTTCTCCAAGTCAGCGAGGAGCAGAGAAAGCGTCATGAACCTGGGGACCATCGCGCATCTGCAATACTACTTCGCTAGGACGGGGCTGCTGGATACAGCGACTGGCCGGACTGGTAAGGCGCGCAAAAGCGGATCGAGGACACCCAGCGGGACTGAGCGCCCTCTGTCTGGAGTCGACGGCGAGCTCTCAGCCTTCTCATTTCCATCTCCAGCATCCCCCGATGGCACCAGGGAACACTTGGGCTTCGTTGACTCACCCCTCGACGAGACCGCGTCCATGTCTTGGGAGGACAACGAACCTATGATGCTTCCACCCACCGTGAGCACATACAAGAACAATCCCGTTTACGTTCCTCCACCACCTGATATGACGGTTCTCCGTCGAGAACTGCGCGAGTCGCTGGCCGAATCCATGAAGCACCTACAAGAAATCGAGAAGTACATTGCCGACCCGCAACAGGCCAGTGCTATAAAAGGAACCAATGCTGCCGCATCGACTGCACCCGATGCATCAGGATGGTACGAGATACAGGGCCTGAACCTGCTGGACGTGACGACGCTGGCCATTAGAGCCGCCAAGAACTACTACACGGCACACGAGGAGCCACAACGACTGTATGCCATCAAGTCGGAACGCCAGATCAGGAAGGAGCTCTACGAAGCATTGGAGGTTTTGAAGCGACTAGCCATGCGCAACTTTGCCAACGGAGTGCAGCAGTACGAGGTTTCTAAGCTGAGGCAATGGATTGACGACATTGGCACTCTGCTGGACACGGAGGAAGAGAAGGAGAGATTAGAGCAGGCAGAGAGGGAGAGTTGGTCCTGGCGGGAGGGCGATTGGACTGGCAGAGAAAGAGAGAGGGAACTCCTGTTTCTCAAGTCATTCGACAGCAGCCCAGATCCCCTCCCCGATTGGACAGCTGCGAGCGAAGGCCAAGGGCCAACCCCGTTCCTCTCGGCCTTGCAGAATGGGTTACGACTAGTCCACCTGCACAACACGCTGGTCAGGAAGTCGAAACGACAATTCGAGGAAATCAAACATTATCACACTGACACGGCCAAACCATATCGATGCGCCGACAATCTGCGGTACTGGGTCAAAGCGGCCGAACTGCGCTGGGACATCAAGCTGGACGTTGATGTCATGGGCGTTGTGCATGGCGATGCGGGCGCGTGGAAGAATTTCGACGCTGCTCTCCTCAAGTGGTGCCAGGGCGTGCGAGAGGAGATGACGTTGGAGTGGCAGAAGCAGAAGAACCAGACGCGGACGCCGACTCTGCAGATTGATCCCAACTACGAGCCGTTGTAAGGGCTGATTTGGCGGAAGCACAGGAAGATGTTGAAGCGTCTCGACTTATCATTTTTTTCCATGTCCATTTTTCCTCTTACCCCTATCTAATTTGCACGAAGCCTATGCCCCCAAATCACCACTCACTGCCTGGTTGGAGACCGGCGTATTTTTTTATTATATTATTTTCCTTGCACACGTCCTCTCAGCAGGCGATATATAGAGATAGATACCCCTTAGCATCGGCGACTTGGCCGCGACCTGTGGTTGGAATTGTAATCAGCCAAGAGTATCAATATCAATAACAGTGTCTATTATGATCAACGCAGCAGCAGCAGCCGGCATTGTTCTGGAAGTGACACGGACGCGTTTGAGATGGGTAGGGGGTGGAATGAGGCGGGTGGGACAGGGGTGAAGCTAGTGAAGATTGCCCTCGTGTTGCAAGATAGCCAGCAGCAGCATCCGAGGTGTGGATGGCACAGGTGGGAGGAGTCGTTGGTGTAGTTATCGTGTGTGTTTACTTTTCTTGGTGCTTGTGCGACGACGCTGCTGTGCGCTGTATTTATTATTATTATCAAACAAAGGCGCGTCGTCCATTAGGCTAAGGCGACGCGACTCACCCCCCAACGAACCGCTCCGCTCATCTCCACCGCCGCGCATCCGTGCTTTCATCCAGCGCAACTCTTTCGAGCCGCTGCACCGCCTTCTGCCTGATCAGCGACCCGGAGCTTTCTCAACGCCTATTCTTTGAGAAATGCTCAATGAGCAACTCGGCGGCGACGTCCCTAGTCAGCAGCAGCAGCAGCCCCGCCGCGCCTGCAGTTAATGATCGCCTGCCAGCGAAGACACCGCCAAATCCGACCACGACCACGACCACGACCACGACCACCTCACCCTCACCCTCGTCGTCATCGCCGCGACCCGCACGCCCCACGCCCCCGACGGCCCTCGAGAGCAGCCAGAAACTCGCCAGAAATGTCTCCCCAGGCCTCCTGGCTCGCATGAAATTCCTCAACCTCGACAGCGAGGCGAACAAACAGACGGGCCCCTCGTCTATTGGCCGCATTGACGAGGACAAGATCCGCCGCCTGGAAGACTTCCACAAGGACCGCAGCTTCAACGTCGAGCGCCGGGGCACTGCCTGGAGCGGCATCGGGCCCCCGCCAGACCCCTCGCTACTCGAGCCCCAATTGACGGGCGAGAGCGTGCCCGCGCCAGCCATGGCCATGGAGCCCAGCTTCGAGAGCCATCACTACCGCAGCGTCAGTCCTCCTCCAGTCATGGAGCCTGGCTTTGAGAGCGACCACAGCAGTGTCGTCAGCACCAGCGACAAGGTGCTCCCCTCAGAGTCCGAGGCCGAGGCCGACGACGTGCTGGACATGCAAAAGTACCGCCTGCCCGACATCACCAAGACGAAGAGCCTCAGCCAGACCGTCGTCCCGACAGAGCAGCCAGTCACCACCGCCACTACCACTACCACCACCGATACAACACGCCCACCCACGCCCCCTCCCAAAGATACACCACCAGCCGAAGAAATATCCGTCCTGGACGACCACGATGGCATCAATGTCGAGGCCTACTTCCAGCGCCGCCAACTCTCCCGCGCTACGTCCATCTACACCCTCTCTAAGGCCAGCTTCACCAACCAGATCCAAGGCCTGACCTCGATGAAGCTGCCTCCCACCACCATTGCCTCGGAAATCACAGCACTTCCGTCGTCGACGCTCGCTGGCCGTGCGCTACACAAGGCGGCAAACGACATTCGACTATGGATGGCCAAGGCAACAGAGGTCCTCAACGGCCTCGACGCAGAAGACGACGTCGAGTGGGCCGCAGCTGCCGGAAGAGAAGGACTGGCTGAGGTAGATGCCGCTGTCGGCAAGTTTGAGGGACTCGTCAACGTTTACATCACCGCCATTGAGGACCTGCAGTCGCGACCAGACATTTCCGCCCTGCCTACCAAAGACCAGACGACGCTCGTGTCCCAGATGGAGGACATTGTGAACAACTGGTCCAAGATCAAGGAGACACTCAACGGCATTAAGAACCAGGTTGAGGTGGCCATGGAGTGGGAAGAGCTATGGAACAACGTGCTGGGCGAGATTGGCCTCGAGGTCGAGAACCTCAGTCGCCTAGTATTTGAGATGGAGGAGCGCAGACACCGTGTCATATCCGACTCGGTCGCTGAAGCCCCGGAAAATTTTGATATCGCCGAGCTGGAGACCATTGTCGAGGAGACACCACGACAGGCCAAGATGCTCAACAACCGGTTTAGTATGCCAGTACCCCCTACGCTCTCGGTCATGTCACCCATTTCCCCAATACCACAGATTGAGCAAGAAAACTCACGACTGCTGGCCCTCTTCGCGAAGCTGCAACCATTACGTGCATCGCTTGACTTTCTCCCTATGCGACTGGCCTCCTTCCAAATGCGCGCAAACAATATCTTCCCTTCCGCCTGTGATGAACTGATGCGGAGGAAAGAGCAGCTGGAAGACCAAGAGAAGAAGCTCGAAGCAGAAGCAGATGCATTGCGAGAAGAGCTAGGCGAAGACAAGTGGGTGCACAGCTTCCGGCAAGCGGGAAGCAAGGCCGTAGCCATGTATGACTCTTGCATGAAGAGCATCCAGAGACTGCAACAAGCCATCGACGACAGCGACGAAGAGAAGATTAGCACCCGCATTGCAACCTACAAAGACAAGCGGGACCACTATCCGCCATCAATGAAGCGTGTGTTGGAACTGATTGACATCGAAATGACCCACAGATCTACCGTCAATGGCGAGATTCTGCGAATACAACAAGATGTCCGGGCAAAAGTATCGGACTTGGAGACGGTGACCAAGGATATGGACATGATCCTCGACGAGTTCACTGCTTCGCGTAAGCTTCGCGACTCGGTCTCTACCGTCTTGTCTGCGCGGACAGAGGCTTCATTATCGAACTCGGCAGTCGCAACACCCAATAGCTCGCCTGCTTCAAGCGTTATCATAAGTCGGAAGAGTAGCGACCATGGCACCATGACACCAGCGGCTAAAAGTTCTCGTCGTCAGTCTAGCATAGCTACTCCAAAACCTACAGCACCCACCAACCGCCGCTACTCGAGTTTGCCCATGACCAGCGGCGTGACGATCCCCAAGCTCGCGCCCGCGAGGCGTCTGGACATGACACCCTCTCGCTCTGTATACAGCATGCAGACACGCTCCATAACGCCTGTATCAGAGAGGCCAGCAGTCAAACCTCGATGGAACTCGAGTACAAATATGCGAGACACGGTTGTTGGGCATAACTTCAAGCCCATGACGTTGACGACCCCGTCACAATTCCGCAGGGGCTTGGAATCCCCAGAGCAAAGGTTGAGGAGCGTGTCTAGCCACTCTTCCATCCCTGTTCGGAGCCCATTGAGTCGCTCTTCTGCTCTGTCACCACCTCCGTCTAACCGTCCTACATCAACTACGCCTGCGCACCAGCCTTCAAGGCGTCCATTGGCGAGTCCCATGCAGTCTCCTGGTACGCCCGCACGGAGCAAGCTGTCCATGCGGACAACACCGGGTTCCTCGACGAAACCTCCCACGGGCACGCCAACCTCGGGACGCCGTGTGGAAACTGCCCAAGATGTTGAGAGCCCTGCTAATGAGGGAAGCCCGTCGGCTCGCCGTACCACCCGTTCTGCTAGTGCAATGAACAACCGGCGTAGCAGTCTTCTTCCGGCACCAAAAACACGCACCGCATCCACTTTGGGCATGTCGGATCTGACCCCTGCTACTACACCTGGTCGAAGCGGTAGCAGACTCGGTAGCATTGGTGAAGGAAGAAATAGTAGGGCCGGTGACGGACGTGCAAGTCGTGTCAGTGGACGACAGTCTAGTCAGGGAGACAAAGCGGTTTGGAGATAGGCTCTCGCAAAGCACACGTATCTCCTTGACGCCTGACTTCTCCATCAGTCGCATCTGGCAAAACGATTGATTCGTGACCGATACACCCCACTCCGGTTTGCAGAATCGATGCCACCACTTCATTTCTCAGTTTGGATCCTGGCTTGGTCCCACCGCTTTCTTGATATTAGCTTTAGTCTCCGCTCGATTTTCCTTCCGTGTGCTCGCCTCAAAACCCTATATCCGTCCGAGTCGCAGATTGCACTTGTCTGGCGTTATGCTTCTGATCGGTTGGGAGAAAGTATCCTATACCCCGGCGTTTGTTTGTTGATTTTCTGGGATACAGTCTGTTTCTATATGCGCGCATCTCTAGCGTTGTCAACCACTCTTTTGTTGGCGCATGCTCTGGCGAACGCTGCCCGAGTCAGGCATGAGCTTGGAGGATGCATAGGAGAGGAAGCTAATAGTCTGCTTGTCAAAGCGCGAGAGCTGTCTAGCATAGTAGATTTGATATAGATACTGATACTGATACTATAGTAAATTGATATGTCAGTCTTCATAGGTGCATCGTCTTTCTTTCTCGCGGGGCACATCTCCTGTTCTTCTCTAGAAGTGTTCCAGTGAATAATAGGTAGGTACATGAATTTTAAGCTTCCCCACTCTGTCACTACACTCTACACTCACTCTACACCTTCAATCCTCTCCATGTGTACCATTCACGCATAGCACACAATCGTTCCCCTTCCAACCCATCGATAGTCTAGTGGCAAAGGCCAGCGTCTACCCATTCATTTTACCCACTTCAGAGAGCCTTGACCAAAGTCATTACAATGCCATCCACTCCAGGATCCCCACTCGCACCACCATCCATCACCTGCGCACAAATCTCAAACCCAATCTTAGTATAAAACGCCCGCCCCGCCGTATTCGTCCGCACCATATCCAAATGCACGCCCCTCGCCCCCATGCCCCTAACCGCCTGCAGAAAGGCATTCATCAGCAGCGTCCCAAGCCCTCTCCGCTGAAACTCGGGCAAAATATCAATATGCATGTGCGCAGGATACTCCGCCAGCACTGCCGGCCACGGCAGCAACATGCTACACTCGGCGCCATACACGGCGCTTCTGAACCCCTTGATGTCCTCTCTTTCCATCAGCGCGTCGCCCGTTCGCACACCGGGTCTGGGAATGAGGTTACTGTCTACCATGGGAGTGAAGTCGTTGCGCCAGCGTTGCGCGAAGGAGGCCGTGTTTGCCGCGCCGATGCAGTAGCCTACTACGCGCCCGCTGCCGTCGTCTAGTACGAAGCAGGTGCCTGGTGTTAGAGTGGTGTAGGGCTTGTACCAGAGGTGGGAGCCGATGGTGCGGGCGGGTTCCCAGTTTAGGCTTGGGTCGATGGTCGTGAGGAACTGGGCGTGTTGGTGTTAATGGCTATGGTGGTGCGGGGGGTGTATTTTCGCAGGGAGGGGACGTACGACGTTTAGGCCGTTGGTGTAGTCGAGGGAGGCATCGTATGGTCGCACAAAAGGTGATGCCATGGTTGAGATAGGCGGTTGGTGGGCGGTGGGCGGTACGTAGGGCTGAAGTCAAGACGCCAATTCGGTATGCTTCAACTCTAATTAGTACCAAGCATAGTAAGCTGGAAATTCCGAGGAGGCTACATTCGAAGATTCACGCGTGTTTATCTCATCTTGTGCAACTTAAAGTCAGTACGACTGGAAAGCTAATGAATATATGTAGTTCTGCGCCTGAAGTCTGGCGCTAGTAAGATCGCTAGAGGATGGCTGCGGGACGACGCACCGCGGGGAAGGTGGGGCTAAGCCTTTCCCGCGCCATAATGATATACACATGCATCTTGGCACGGAACAGTAGGGATGAGATGCCGGAGTGAAGATGAAGAGTCTTGAAGATGCGAGGAAAGCGAGTCGACAGGCTATAGTGAGGAGAAAAAGGATGTTTCTGTCCAGCACAACTACTCACACTCGAAATCCGCTCTCTTCAAATGAAAGCTTGACATCTTCGGCGATTGCGAATTTGGGTAAACTTTGGACAATAAGTATTCGCGGTCTTTCCTCCTTTGGGATCATGCATTGCTGCATTTGAGCAGAATTATTATAGGGTGGGGAATACCTACCACTCTCGCTTGAACGGCCAAACTGAATGGCAGCGGGAAGTGCAACTGTTCCACTGTCGCTGAATGCGCGATAGGGTGCTGTTGTCCGAGGCATTGATGCATCACACATATCAATAGTACGCATTAAGACACAACGCGTCTGAGCGCCAGAGGGGCCATTCGTCCCGATAGTTTGTTGCCATGACGATCTTAACAATCCAGCTCCAAGCGCCATGGCTAATGACTGGATTCGATGTTCGATAGAGGCAAGAAATGTGTGTGGTGGTAGTGAGTGTGGTTGTAGCTAGATGAGGTTAGAAGATAGGTGGGGATTACCGAGGCTTATCAGCCGATGAGCCACTCCACCCGATGAGCCACTTTTTACTAGTAAAAAAGCCAAAAAATAAAATTTTATTTATTTAATAACTTAATATATATAAAAGATATAAAAAAACTTTATATATATAAAATATATAGAAAGATTACTTCTATAAATCTATAATTTTAAATTAGTTTAATACTTTATATTAATAAAGTTATATTAAAAGTAAAAATAGAAAAAAG